AGCACTAACTCTGGACCCTGCAGTTTTCTTGGCAAGATTTCAGAAGTGGATTGCCATTGCCTGCTTCCTAGGGCTGAGAGAGAGTGACTGGCCCAAGATTATACAGCAGGCTTCATGCCTAAGGCAGCAGGACTGGAGCTCATGTTCTCCCGGTTATTAACCTGATGTCTTAATCACTATACCAAACTGACTTTCTACATACTGTATTATATACAATGCAAATAAAACCAAACAAAAATGGGGTTCCACCATTGTCATGAGGTCTAGGAGCACAACAGGATCTTCAAAAATTTGCTGAATGACGTAAGGGTGGGACACAGAGCCACACAAATCATAAGGATGACTTATTTAATAAATAAGACACTGATAAAATGTGGAATCATGGCAGAAATAAATTGAATAGGGTGTGGGCAATTCCCCAAAACTAGTTATAATTAATGAGGCATTTATAGGGCTGTACTTCTAAACTTAGCTACTTGAAACTGAGTTTTTAAAATCCAATTTTACACCCAAACAAACATGCCAACTGTTACAAAGACTGTGTATGTCAAATCAAGATTGAGGAACTCCAGAAGAACATGGAATATAATGCTGTCTCAACCTGGGGCTCTTTATGTTGGATTTCAGTTCTTACAATTTTAATTTTTTAAAAAAATTATGAGAGCCAATTTGGTGTAGTAGTTAAGGCACAAGGCTAAAAAGCCATGAATTATGAGTGGTAGTCTTACCTTAGGCATAAAGCCAAATGGAGTGAAATTAGACCGGTCTCAGCTCTAGGAATGAGGCAATGGCAAACTACTTCCAAAAAGTTGCTAAGAAAACTGCAGGGAAAGCTGCATGTGTCGGAGCCAACTCTGGCTTGAAGTTCAACAAATTTTGAGGTGTTAAATTGGTTGGTTAAGCAGCAATGGATGAATAATCCTGATAAGAGTTACTATATCCGTATTAGAAAAATATAGAAAAATTGAGCTGTCAACAATCCAAGCTTATGGATACTTGAGATTAATTGCACCTATATCATTAGTGCAATTTATCTCTAAATATAGAAATTTGTTATACTGAAATATGACTAGAGTAAGTTTGTGCCAACTTTATTAAAATGCTGCCAGTAATCCCAAGTAGAAATAAGCTCTGTTTAAATGCACATAACATTAAACTATTGCTGATACCATAGTCGTCTTGCTTAGGGGTCAAAATATATTTCTGTAGAAATGCTAGAGGGCTTGAGCTATTTTCAGGTACTTGAATCCATTCAATTTTAGATATTTTAAGATGTTATCTTAGTCTGCTGCAGTAAAAGCAGCTAGAGTGTGTGCTGCCCTTTGCAAACTTTCAATGTTGCAATCCAAAAACTAGTAGAGTAGATAAAGGATGGTTAACTTGAAAGGGAGGGGCACAAGTTGGAATAAAACAGCTATAGTAGCTGCCCAAGGCATTTAGAATTGAGGAGTGGAATAGATGGCCATTGTATGTACAGTGCGGCAATAGCCCTGTATCTAGTAGATTTATCAAACTGCAGATTTGATACACAAGTTCCAGTGAATCTAGTAGGCCTTAGTTTGGAATAAACACACATGACATTTGCTTTTAAAACTCATTCTTCTTAAGGTACAAGTGCCATTCAACTCAGCAGGTCTCCCTCCTGAGCAACTATGAATTGAATGTTAAGTACCTGCAGTCTTCCAAATCTAGTTGATTCACTGAATCAACTAATAGCTAACCACATTAATCATATGTATTGTGTAAATATGGCAGGTGATTAATTTGCTTTCCAGTGAGCTGTATTCCAGTTAATTGATGGTCCTCTGTTTATCCTAAGATGCAGCCCAGGTTCTTTCCAGATAACTCCATTTGCACCTTATTTTTGAAATAAAATTTTTAAAATAGGATCGCGTGACAAAGTTGAAAGACAGCGGAGCAACAGTGAAGGCAGTAGTGTTAAACCCAGTTAGTTGAACTCTAGCAAGACACTGAATTACCAAAAGAACATCCGATTCCCTCCAAATCGGCTGGCTAACTCAAAATTCAGCCAAGAAGCGGGACGGCCGCCAGCTCGGCCTTTTGGGATAGCGTTCAACTTGGCGGGCAAGGGGAGAGCCTGGCAAGCGCGCGAGTTTGTGGAGGAAGCATCCGAGAAGCCACCGAAGAACCAGCCCAACCAGGGAAAGCAGAGTCAGCCTCGGAAGGGCGCATCTTCGCGCGGTAGGTTCTGATTTGTCTTCGCTTTCTTCAGTCAAGGCGCCGCCCTCCCCTTCGCTCAGGTGAACAAGGCAGGCGCTGGCGAATGCAGATTCCAGAGGGGGAAGCGCCGGAGGGAGGACCAGCCTTTGTCCAACCAGCCCGCCACTTTGATCTTTGATCTTCTCCAGCAGTTGGGAGAGGCTGGTGAGGATGATGGGAATTGGACTCCAGCTTGGGGGAAGGGCTGCCTTCCAAGCAAGTCCGTTTGGTTGAGGTTTTCGTTTGGCTGCAATGCAACATCTGCGCCGAAGCTCCAGATTGATGGAATTAATCGTTTTTTGTTTTTTTTTGTTTTAAAGGGTTCCGCCATCAACGTTGGGTTGAGGAGCTCTTCTTTCATTCACTCACCCTCCCCGCCCCCCGATTTTATCCAAGGAGGGAGAAGGCATTCCGCCGGTCCACCTCTCAAACCAGGTCACACCAAGCCACCCACAATTATCTGCTCCTTTTGTCCAGCGTCTCCCTGGCAAGATAGACCTCCACCCGGGATAGAAACTGGGGCAGCCGAAAACAGGTGGCTGAATGGCAGCGTCGCTGCAGGATTAGGCGATCCTGCAAGTTTCGGAGGCATGAAGCCCCACCGCTTCCTTGCAGAGCAAATCGTTGCAGGAAGCGACCAATCGTCCCAGGGCCTCTTGCTTTGGAAGAGGCGGAGACTCTCGCTTGCTCCGCCCTCCTCGGGGGGTGAAAGCAGCAGCTCTTCCCTGCCGATGGTCTCTGCCTGCCATTCATGAAAGCGATCCAAATCTTTTCAATCGCGCTTCTGGAGCCTGCGCAGCAGCTCGCCTCTCCGCGGGTTGCTGCTACTCCCGACGCTACGTCTTCTCCGGGAGTAACGTAAAGGAACGGATAGGTAGATAACAGGGCTGTTCTGTAAGAGTCTTAAGTGCGTTGCCCAGATTGCGGGAAAGTCTACAAAACAGTAAAAAAAGGGGATCGCAGAAGATTTGTGTAGATTTCTGGACGTTAATGAGGATTTATGTCTATCCGGTTTGCTTTCTTTTTCTTTTTAGCATCAGGTATTATCACAATGAATTATTAGACAATGCTTCCCCAGCCTGTTGCCCTCCAGTATCCGCCGGACTTCAACTGCCGAATCTTTCACCCATACAACCACTAGCCCAGCTAAGGATTTTGAGAGTTAGTCCAACATCTGGAAAGTACCAGGTTGAAAAAGAAGTAGCATAGGAGATAGCTCGTTTGCATTTTGTGTTTAAGGACAGAACTCGGGGTTCGAAATTTCTAGGAACCATCTGTATTCAGAAGCATTTTGATGGCTAAGTCTAAGTCTTTGATATCAGGTCTAGGCGGTCGATTTTTCTATCAGCATTTTGCTGGCTGTTCGGTTTGGCAACTTTTTTGTGGTTTTGTTTACAAAGTTTCCTGGTTCTAGTAAAAAACACCCCCCCACACACACATCTGCTTAGCTGTGCATGAGGGCAGAATGGGAAAATCTAAATGCAGAAATACTTTTTATGTGTTATATTTTTTCTTCATTTTTTTCTCTCTGAGGCATTCCAAGTGACTTGGCTTACAAAATTACCCCCTTTTTTATTGAGTTCTAAGAGTTTAGAAACTTTTCTGTGTATGTGGAGTGCTTTACAGGACATTTGGAGGTGTTAACTTAGATAAGACTCGATTAAGATGAAATACAGTAAATCAGAACAGATCCTTTACTGTACTGTAGTGAGAGACTGCGCATTTCTGCAGAGAATACAGTTGTCAAAACTCGTCTCTAAATGAACTCCTGAAAGAAGCCTATCGGATCACCAACTTTTGCAAGCTGATGTATTTTTCCTTATTTACTATGTAGATGTTACCGCTGGCATTAAAACTCCTGGTATCTAAATTACTTTCCGGACTTTACGTGGAATATATCTGTAATAATATATCGTATTCGGGATGTTATACCGGCTGTTAAGTGCTCAGGGGACAGAAACACGGCACCAGTCAGAATCCCTGAAGGATACGGACCAGCGGTGACATTCATAGACCAGTTTCGACTAAGCCCAGTGCCTGAGGTTTATTTTCAACATCAGTGAACTTCAGAGAGTCATGTTAATGATAGGGAAAAAAATCAAGAAATTAGCATCGTTTCCGAATACATTTTTATTAAAAAGATAGCCACGTTCGTGAGCTACGGCTCACCCCATCCGATACGGAGTGGAACTTGGGTGTCTTTTTATAAAATGTGGTAGTCAGCAAAGGTGACATCTGTGGATGCTTCCTTCTGTGGATTTAAACGCTTTTCTCAGTTCGATGCTCGTTTATTCATCATGAACCGGCCTCCCTGCTCATTTGGACAGTTAGGTATATATATATACCTGAATGAAGGCACCCCGAGCCGGGCGTCGGATATCTCTGAAGTCATTTCGTTATATGGGCTGCTTATTTTCAAATGCGCCTGCCTTATAAAATTAACCCCCACTCGTTGCAGGTTTACTAAAAACAAACTTAAAGCGAGATTCACACGCCGAACCAATCCTAGGCAAACAATACTATTCCTAAATAAGGGACTTGTACGGCGGTTTTGACAACCTGGTCGACCCGTCCGTTCGCGGTCGACCTCCAGAGGTTGTAGAAGAGGTGCTGTTAGCATATGGCGCCTATAAAAAATTTTTTAAAAAAATTCCCGCCTTCCTCCGGTCATGGGTGGTTTGTTTGGCTTTTTGTACAAACGCAGCTAACTATGCAAACCACGTGCCAACCCCCCTTTTTTTGCCCCGGAAGTGCTTGTCATCGAAAGTTCGGCGCTTCCGCCGACGCAAGATGGCGGCGGATGCAACAACGGAGCTGCTTTTTTTGGATACTTTCAAACACCAGAGCACTGAGGTAACGGAGGCAATGTGGGTCTCTCCATCCCGTTTCCCCTCCCCGACCCCCTCGCCTTTCAGTTAGGATGGAATTGGGTTCTGAGAGAAGATGTTCATTATCGGGCGGCAATTAATGAGTCTTAATTTCAGACTCCTTCTGCAGCCTCCGCAAAGGAAATCGGCTTCCCGTAACGGTAGCGATAGGGTGGTTTTTTTAAAATAAGTCGATGTGGTTGAGATAGGTGGTAGGTGTGCGGCCGTGTATAGATATGATGGATATTTCAATTTTTTGCTGTTCTGGTATAACCAACCTCCCCCCGCCCCCCAATATATATCTTTCAACCCAAATATGTGCGTCCTGATTGTAGTTCATAGCGATGTAATTCCTGTTCCTATCTCTCCCCTGGTAAAGTTTTGAAGGGAGAAATGCCTGTATATGGGTAATCCAGTTAAATAAGGACAGCAATAAAATCGTCATGTGTTAGTCAACATTTAGAAACACGTAGCTTTTTAAAATTTATCATAAAGGTAAAAGAAATCATGGGATTCACCGAAACACTGTATAGACAATAAGCAAAAATAAATATATTTGGATATAAATTTCTCTGCATAAAATCATATTTGTGTGCTATTTGATTTCTAAGATATTGAACTGCAGGTGGTATACTGCTTTATGTGAAATTAGTGTGGATTATATACATGCATTCAACTTCATAGTTCTGTTCTTTTGATATAAAAACTTAATTTAACACACTGTTTTCTTCTGTTAGGAGATAGGTAAAAGGAACCTTTTGCCCAATGTTAGGTGCTTAAATTATTCTGGGTACTGTAGTAAAAATATATCAGGAGAATATACACTGCTCAAAAAATAAAGGGAACACAAAAATAAGACATCCTAGATCTGAATGAATGAAATATTCTTATTAAATACTTTGTTCATTACATAGTTGAATGTGCTGACAACAAAATCATACAAAAAATTATTAATGGAAATCAAATTTAGCAACCCATGGAGGTCTGGATTTGGAGTTACACTCAAAATTAAAGTGGAAAAAAACATTACAGGCTGATCCAACTTTGATGTAATGTCCTTAAAACAAGTCAAAATGAGGCTCAGTAGTGTGTGTGGCCTCCACGTGCCTGTATGACCTCCCTACAACACCTGGGCATGCTCCTGATGTGGTGGATGGTCTCCTGAGGGATCTCCTCCCACACCTGGACTAAAGCATCCCCCAACTCCTGGACAGTCTGTGGTGCAACATGGCGTTGGTGGATGGAGCGAGACATGATGTACCAGGTTTGCTCAATTGGATTCAAGTCTGGGGAACAGGCGGGCCAGTCCATAGCATCAATGCCTTCATCTTGCAGGAACTGCTGACAGACTCCAGCCACATGAGGTCTAGCATTGTGTTGCATTAGGAGGAACCACACCAGCATATGGTCTCACAAGGGGTCTGAGGATCTCATCTCGGTACCTAATGGCAGTCAGGCTACCTCTGGCGAGCACATGGAGAGCTGTGCGGCCCCCTAAAGAAATGCCACCCCACACTATTACTGACCCACTGCCAAACTGGTCATGCTGGAGGATGTTGCAGGCAGCAGAACGTTCTCCATGGCGTCTCCAGACCCTGTCACTCATGTCACATGTGCTCAGCGTGAACCTGCTTTCATCTGTGAAGAGCACAGGGCTCCAGTGGGGAATTTGCCAATCTTGGTGTTCTCTGGCAAATGCCAAACGTCCTGCACGGTGTTGGGCTGTAAGCACAACCCCCACCTGTGGACGTCAGGCCCTCATTACCTCATGGAGTCTGTTTCTGACTGTTTGAGAAGCCGCATGCACATTTGTGGCCCGCTGGAGGTCATTTTGCAGGGCTCTGGCAGTGCTCCTCCTGTCCCTCCTTGCACAAAGGCAGAGGTAGCGGTCCTGATGCTGGGTTGTTGCCCTCCTACGGCCTCCTCCACGTCTCCTGATGTACTGGCCTGTCTCCTGGTAGCGCCTCCATGCTCTGGACACTACACTGACAGACACAGCGAACCTTCTTGCCACAGCTCACATTGATGTGCCATCCTGGATGAGCTGCACTCAGGAAGATTTTATAATGTTTAGATGTTTCTCTTTATGCACCTTTTCATAAAAGTTCTTAGATTGTGTCGAATTTAAAAGCAGTGTTTAAAACTATAAGAAGTTGGGGTGTTTTTTTTTTTTTTAAGAATTATCTCTTTAATGTTAAAATAATTTGCACACAAATTATTGGAGTTGAACTTCTGTGCTGAACATCAGATAAAACCAGTCACATATCCTGTAAAGAAAAGATATTCACAAGTTAGGTTCAGTTTCTATTAACTGCAGTCCTGTGAATGTATGCTAAGAAATACGTCTATTTATGTAGCCCTATCTGTTCTTTCAAGTCTCTCAATAGTTCACTCATTGCCACTGCAAGTCTTAAAGTTGCCAAAGTTGGAGAGCCCTGACTTAGACCATCCACCTTGGTCATCCTGGTCTTATTTTTCCTGTCACCTTTCCCAACATTAGCCTTTTCTAGAGAGCTGCATCTTAACATAATGTTCTGAACTATTATAATTTGAGCTTGATCATTTTGACTGTTTACTACAAATAAACTATCATATGGAATTCAGAGAAGCTGCTGCATTATTGCCATCTTAGATCTGCCCCTCTCGATTTATGCCTTAAGTGAGATCCCTGGATTAATGTGTTCAATGATCTGTAGTTGGTTTTCTTGGCTGTCCATGATATCCTTAGGAGTTTTCTCCAACTTAATTTAATTATTTGATTTAATTATTTAAATTAGGTGGTTTTAAGTTTCTGCAGGCTGAGCAGTAACATTTTAAGTAAAATACTGTTAGATTGTGTTAGTAGTTCTTATGAATAATTATTTTTTCCACATTTTTGCTAAATATTAAATCTATTTTCTGCAACTTTTTTTTTCTTCACTTGTCACTCTGCAAATGTTTTTCAGATCTTTATTTCTAGTCTGTTTGGCCTCTTCAAACCAATTCCTGGACCTTTCCTGCAAATCATCTGCCTCTGCATCTCATCAGGGTTATTAATGCTATATCAGTCTGTCCCTAAAAGGTCCATTGAAATTTGATGGCTAAGATTAATTTTAATTAAACATAGTGTTATTTGATCTACCTACAAGTATTTGTCAATATTCCTGTCAGCCCTTCCAGGTAAACCATGACTAGGAAGCATGACTAGATTAAGTAATTATACTTTATTGAAAGGAATCTTGAAAGCCTGAAAGTACAAATTTCCCACCACCATTTTTAAATTCCTGATTCATTACAGAGAATCCTTCTCAGTTTTCTGATCTGACTGTTAAGAGATCCTAGACAACATCTCATGCCCAAGTTTTGCAAGGCCACCCACATATTATGTTACAATTTCACAATATCACAAATTCAGTCCATGCTAGTTTAGGACATGTCTGCATAAGAAAACAAGTAAAAACTAATGGTGAGCCAAATGTCCAAGTTTATTAAGTGTCCAGACATACAATATTGTACATAGGGTTACAGTATTTATCATAAAAAATTGGTCCCCATTAAAATGACAAAAGCCAAATTAAAATGAATTCTGCAGGTGGTTTTTAATGGTATTGTCTGTTGCAAAAGGCATGTTACATCTGGACATGTCAGGAAGAATGGATGGTTATAGTTGTTACTTGCTACTTTTAGGCAATGTCTGGATTGAGTGAAATGCATATTTTGCATTTGTGTGAAAATGCATATTTTGACAGATTTGAGTGCTCATGAAACAAAACAAGATACTTTGCACTTCAGAATTCATGAATGTTGTTCATTTTTTTCCCTAGCAAAGCAGTAATGTAGATGTGGTTCGCTTTCCATGTGTAGTTTACATCAACGAAGTGCGTGTGATTCCTCCAGGAATAAGAGCTCACTCTAACTTACCTGAAAGTAGAGCTTATGGGTAAGCAAGAAAATGATATAAGAGATTGTCCAGCACTGTTTTCTACATCATTTGTGCTTCTCTTATTCTTATGAGAAAAGACGTTAACTGTAAAATGGGTACTGAATCAGAGAGTGAAAGTATGTGCCTAAATTTGCAATAGATTTGAACCTGAGATTTCCTGGGTCCAACCAGCACTATATAATGGAATATACTTCTGCTTTAAGAAACCAAAAATATAAAAGAACTTTGAAAAGGCTTTATGTATTAATTGAGACAAGAACTATAGCTCTTATAATTTTTTAATTTTGAAAAATTACTTTTGAATAAGTAATGGCAGGATTTATGAAATGCTGATTTAAAAAAAGTAAAAGAATTGCTGAGAAAATAATATTTTGAGCTGGATTTGCCAGCCATAGTTTGGAGTCAGTTCTGGATAATGTCAATTCTTGTTTTGCCCAATTCAGATATTACAAATCATGACTCAAGATGGAAAAAGAGGAAGCAATAGATGTTTGTTTCTGAGATCTTGGCTTACACTCCTTTCAAAAGCAACTTTCTCTAGTTGGAAAAGAGGATAATTGACAGTTGCATTCAATATTTGCTTTATTTAATTTATATGCTGGCCATCTCACTTTCAAGTGATTCAATGTAAAGTATATTGCAAAGACATTTTAATACTTCAGGATTTTATGTAGATGTACATGTGCTTAAGATTAACCAGAAAGCTAGTGAAGTACGTGAGATTAAAGAATAGTATCACACATTGCCAAATGTCATAGAAATTGTGAAAAAACATTTTTTTCTATATTTTGTGGATTTTGTTAGATTTTATTAGAAGCTTTAATTTAAAAATAAAAGTATTGGTACTTTTATCTATATTATATATAGAAAATGTACCTGCAACTGACATTCTGCTCATAAGAATATTTGAGAAAAATATGGACTATATTTTACAAAATATATGAAATAAGATCTTAATAATGTAAATATTGACTATTTTTAACAGTTGGGAACTCTTTATCTTCCTGCAGATTGATTAGCAGTCTTTTAAGGCTTGCCTTGCTCATTAACCAGATTTTGATAAAAATATTTTTTCCACTTTTAATTTGTTCCCAGTGAGACATCTCCTCATACATTTCAGTTAGACCTGTTTTTCAACAATGTCAGCAAACCAAGTGCACCTGTATTTGACAGGCTAGGAAGGTAAGTACTAAGAACTTCATAAAACACTGAATGTACTTTACTTGAAACTATAAAATTATGGAATAGAAAAAACAAACTTGTCACTTTTTTCTTGAGAAGGAATTGGGATACACATAATTAACATTTCTTGTAACCATTAATTTGTGTGGTCTTCTCGGCTATCACATTGTCAAATTTGTCCAACTGTACTATTGCATAACATTGGGATACACAGTTTACAGAAAATGAATAAAATGCATGTAGAGAGTTCCTGTATTCTGCCTTTTAAATACAAAGATGTATAGTTGTCAGCCTAATTCTAAAAGCATAGGTTGTAAGAAGGTCTTATTGTAAGATTAGCTAGTAAGATATGCATGTTTATTACCTAATATCTGATTTTCTGCTTAATAGCCTGGAGTATGATGAAAACTCTTCAATAATTTTCAGGCCCAACGCAAAGGTAATTATTATGTAAATTGTGATGTCTTTCTTGTTAGTTAATATAACTTTTAAAAAACCCTTTTTGGCAGAGGTAATCTTCAGAGACTGGGTTGCTTTCAGTGTATTTCATCAAAGTCTTCTCAGAATCATCAATTGGTTCAATGGATGCTGAAGGGTTACTAAGAGGAAATGATTATAAACATTTCTCATTGCTAGTTGGTTTCCAAGTGTAATTCAGAATAATTAAAACTGTTGAACCTTTCGAGTATTATTATCAGGAAAAAATTGTTCTACCACATGCGCCTTCCTGAAACTTAATTTTTTCATTGGAAACCTTTCTAGGATATGGAATAGCTTAGGTATTGGTTTGTGTGTGTGTATATACACACACAAATATATACATAAATTTGTTTACACAATGCCTTAGATCTTATGAGTTGAGATTTTGTTTTGTATTTCTTTAGATATGGCAGTCATCAGAGATATAACTGGGTGGCGGTTTGATGCAATTGGTTACCAAATTGAAAACTTTAGGAAATGCTGTGTGTAATGATGATTTGTGATTTCCCTGTACTTTATGGCATTGTTGAATGTCATTATACTACAATCATTCAGAAGGGAGCCAAAGATATTTTCCCAAATTTCATTCTTTGTCATAGCATTTTGTGATACTTAGTTTAATAGACAGATGTTCCTAGCAAAAATGGACTTCATGTTTTTAGACAGATCCTGGTAATGGGAACTGAAAGCATTTGAAATAAAAAGCATATATTTCAGAACTGTTGTAGAATTTGGAAATATAGGATTTTCAAAGCTGAAGTACTGTTTAACAAGCAACACGCATAAAACAGAACTGATGAAATTGATACTGTTAATTCAAAAGCAGAAAGTCATGTTTTAAATTCTGTGTTTTTTATTTTAAATAATGCAGGTAAACACTGATGGCTTAGTTTTAAGAGGCTGGTATAATTGCTTAACACTGGCAATATATGGCTCTGTTGATAGAGTGGTGGGCCATGATAGAGACTCTCCTCCTCCTCCACCACCACCACCACCACCTCCTCAGCAACAACAAGCTTTGAAAAGAACTCCAAAATTAGGTGAGCAATTGTGTTTTTCAATACTATTTTCAATAGAATTCATTCTGTCAGCTCATGAGTATGAGTATCAGTACAGCACAAGTCTCAGAATTTTTTCCAAATAATTATCTTCCCAATTTAAACCCTTAAGGGTATGGTGATATTGTTGATACCAGACACGGGGTTTTATTTTCTTATCAATTTAAATTTTATTTCTCCCATCCCACTCTTGGCAGTCCATTTTCACTGCTTTGAAAACTGAAGGGAATTGCAAAAACAGTTTGGCCTTTGTTTATCATACAGTGCGATTTAAAAAATACACAACTTTCTTTTGGCTCAAACATCTTTTACAGCTGATGGAGAGAAAGAGGAACAGTTCAATGGCAGCCCTCCCCGGCCTCAACCTAGAGGACCAAGAACCCCACCTGGCCCCCCTCCTCCTGATGATGATGAAGATGAGCCAATGCCTGTATCAGGTAGCCAAAAGGAAATTCTGTTCTCATTATTGTCACATCTGAGAGGAAAAGCTTTGGATTTTTCTAAAATAACTTCACTAATATATGTTTTGATGTCTAAATTATAGAACCAAATATACAATACACAAAAATATATTTGGTTTTTTGACAGAGTGTTTTGCATCCTGCATTGGGTTAAGAATTTTCCTTCCCACATACGGTACTTTATAATTTACAATACATGGCTCCGTTAATAAAGAATTGCCATTCATTTTTTAAAATCTTCACATCCTTACATCCATATTATGTAAAACTGAATCTGGTGGTGCGGTATCTGATGGGTCAATAGTATATTTCAATATAACTTTAAAATCATATATCTTTGTTACTTAACTTTCATTTGTAAGTAACTTTTCAGTATTGAAACCTCAAGCATTCTATTTGTTTTCTTGCTATTAATGTCATTATTTTCAGTTGCTGGAGAAAAAGATGATGATGTTGATCACAGAGATTATTTTGAGCCCATTTCTCCTGATCGGACTTCCATTCATCAAGAAGGTCCATATTCTGATGAGGCAGAAGTGGAAGAAGAACAAGCAGAAGAAATGGATGATGATGAAGAAGGTGTGGATGTTGACGAGGAAGAGGATGAGGAAGAGGATGATGATGGTCAAACGGTAGATAGCATTCAGGATGATGAAGAGGATGATGATGAGGATGAAGATGAGGATGACGATGAGGATGAGGAAGAAGAGGAAGAAGAGGATGAAGAGGAAGAAGGTGAAGGTAGGCAAATTCAAAGCTACCAGGGTTGATTCTTGCATGCATGGATTATGTTGTCCTTGCTTGATAATATGCATTGACTCGCAGATAAATATCTGATCTGACCCTGTTGAAAGAACACTGTAGTTGAACCAATGTTGGCAGTGTATGAAAATTCTGTTTTGCTTAGTCTATGATGGCCAACCTAGAGGACCAAGAACCCCACCTGGCCTCCCTCCACCTGATGTTGATGAAGAAGAGGAGCCAATGCCTGTATCAGGTAGCCAGGAGAAAATTCTGTTCTCATTATTGTCATATCTGAGAGGAAAAGCTTTGGATCTTTCTAAAATAACTTCACTACTTTGATGTCTGAATTAGGGAACCAAATACACGATGCACAAAAATATATTTGGTTTCTTAACATAGTGTTTTGCATTCTGCAATGCATACAATTGAATCCTTGCTTGATGTTAACAGGCAATCATTGATTTACCTGCAAGTTGAGAGTATGGTATTTAAGAACCAATTTTGAAAACACATAATTTTAGAAAGGAAGATTTAACTGTTAATTTTTGGAAAAGGGTGAAAAAAATATTCATTTTTACAAGAGAGCCTGCCAACATTTGTAAGTGAAAAGGGAATAATTGGATATATAATCAAATCAATAATTTGCAATAATTCAGTCATTATGTGAGCTTTTGATGAGCCCTAAATTAGTGTTTCCTTTGAAAATATATTTAATTTTTCCAAAGCTTAGATTGCAGTATATATATTTGCTGTACTGATGCTCTTCCTTACTCCACCCAGTAGCAAGTGCTTTAGTTAGTGTCATTCTGTTAGGACTATTTAGTCCTTGTTCTGATATTTAGTAATTAGATGTTCTCAGAGCAGCAATATTTCTGCATTCTTTTTAAATACATATTTTCTTATATGTTATATTTTCTCCTCCTGTCCTGTTAAAGATACAGTAGGAGCCGAAAAGCTCTAAACATAGGCATTCCATCTGAACAAGGGCCAGAAAGTAAAGGAGCTGTTCATTGTGTCTTAATAACCTTTTCAGTGTGGCTACAATAAAGATGGTTTGCAATCTTTGGGAGGGCTGTTGGGATTGTAGGCCAGTACATTCAAATATTTTTTGCAAAGACACTTGGAATTTGTCTTTACATGTTAATGTATATTTGAGCATCTATGTTCTATTTTGAGTTAGTTGCATCAGCTTTTATAAAAGTGAGAAACCATTGCTAGCCAAAGTATTTCTTTTTGTTTTCTCTTTGAATACTTGAAGCTTGACCTTGGTCTTGTTTACTTGGCAGTCATTTTTTTGTGGTACATGCACCTTTTTAGAGGTCCATATGATTGAAATTTATAGAAACTTTTGGAATGAAAAACACAAGAATCTTAGATGTGAGAAGATTATTATGTAGCATTTTATCACCTTGTGTTCTTAATGTATACTTTGACTGATAATACATTATTTATTGCTTCAGTGGGGTATGTATTTGTAGAAGGGCACACAAAGTGGGAGCCAATATGTTATTTTATCTAGTCAACAGTTAAAACATGAGTTTTAACTTTAACAAGGATATTTTAAATGTTTGTTTCAGGAGATGATGGTTATGAACAGATTTCAAGTGATGAAGATGGAATTGCTGACTTGGAACGAGAGACGTTTAAATATCCAAGTTTTGACATTGAATACACTGCTGAAGATTTGGCCAGAGTGCCACCTGTAACCTATGATCCTTTTGATAGGGAGCTTGGACCTCTTTTATATTTCAGTTGCCCCTACAAGACCACTTTTGAGGTGGAAGTTGCCAAGATGAGAGATCAAGATCTAGAGAAGGAAAACAGTGGGGCAATAGAGAGTTCTGTTAAATTGACTGAGGTCCTTGAATTATATCAGGAGGAGAGAGGTGCAAAGTGGGTCACAGCTTTGGAAGAAATACCCAGTTTAGTAGTAAAAGGACTAAGTTACTTGCAATTAAAGGATACAAGCCAGGATTACCTAAGCCAGTTGATTGACTGGACAATGCAGTCTTTAAATCTTCAAGTAGCCTTGAGACAACCGATTGCGTTGAACGTCCGTCAGCTGAAAGCTGGGACAAAACTTGTCTCTTCGCTGGCAGAATGTGGAACTCGAGGAATAGAAGCACTCTTGCAAGGGGGAGTAATTGATTCTTTATTTGAGTTGCTCTTTGCAGATCATGTATCCTCTTCCCTTAAACTCAATGCTTTCAAAGCTTTGGATAGTGTTATTAGCATGACTGAAGGGATGGAGGCTTTTTTGAGGAATAGTTTGGAGGCCAATGAAAAAAGCGGCTATCAGAGGCTGTTGGAACTTATTCTGCTGGACCAGACTGTGAGGGTGGTCACTGCAGGTTCTGCCATTTTACAGAAATGTCACTTCTACGAGATTCTGTCCGAGGTCAAAAAAATTGGTGACCAGCTAGCAGAAAATTCTCCCCCCCTTCCAAATCATTCTGAGTCTGAGCAGGATCCAGATGCTGGACCTGAAAGAGGCAACCAGGAATATGATAATGATGTAGATGCTCCAATGGATATGGACAATATTTTGGAGTCCTCCACTATGAATGAAGGAGAAATGGAAAAACTCATTAACATTTTAGATGAAATTTTGCATTTGATGGAGACAGCCCCGCACACCATGGTGCAGCCACCTGTGAAATCTTTTCCAACAACAGCACGTATTACAGGGCCTCCAGAAAGAGATGATCCTTTTCCAGTTCTGTTCAGGTATGTATATTTTTTATTTTGGTAGATGGCTTTAGTTATGCCTATTCTGTTTTTTCTAGTTGGTACCTTCAAGATATGTTCATCAGACTTGCACTGTTACTGCACAGCATATTTAAAAGCCAAATTTGGGCTAATTGGAGTTGAAACGTGACCCAGTTTGGGAATGTCTACTTACATGTTCCAGAGCAGGGGTCTCCAATCTTGGCAACTTTAAGACTTGTGGACTTCAACTCCCAGAATTCCTCAGACAGCAAAGCTTGTGGACTTCAACTCTGCAAAGTTGGCTGAGGAATTCTGGGAGTTGAAGTCCACAAGTCTTAAAGTTGCCAAGGTTGGAGACCCCTGTTCCAGAGGATCACCAGTTCTCCCCCCCCCTTTTAATATGTCCTTATAATGCATGTCCGTTATTTAATAAATATTGTTGATTTAACAAGAAATACTTTAATTTCTTTACTACTTTCATTTCCATTTTTGTTTCTTCTCATTTTCATTAATAAGTCAGTTCACTTTCCCCATTTAAATTAAAAAGATTTGAGTTACTCAAATGTTTACTTAAAATTGAAGACTAGGTAGTACTTATAGGTAATTTGCAAGTTCTTAATACTTGCTAACCAGTTGCTATTCTGAGTTCTTCACAATTTTAAAGAGAAGATTGTGCATAATCTACACCCTGAATATCCTACAATATTTCCAATTTGTAGCCCTTGAAAATCGTTGTAATCTCCTTGTTACCAATGGTAGTGCTTTCTGCTTATGTTGATAAAAATAGTAATAATTAGCCATCTGTTTCATTAATTTAAGTTTGTAGGGACATTTGAGGTCATCTGATTTGAAAAATTATTAATTAATTTTAACAAATAGTCTTGATTTCTTGGATGGAATGAATATATAGCAATCAATAAAAATTTGAAATAATGTTTTTATGTTTTTTAATGCAAAAATATAAAACAGGTATAGATCTATTGAAATTAAATTCAGGCTCAGATTAATATCATGATGATGCCGTTATCCATTCAGTTGGGTCTGACTCTTGGCAATTATATGGGTCAAATCTCTCCTAATCTTCCGATCTTGCACTACTTCTTTTAAGTTCTGTGCTCTGGCTGGTGTCAGCTTTAATGGTATCCAGCCACCATGTTCTCTGACGGCCTGCTTTCCTTTTATATCTAACTCTTCCAGACATCATTACTTTCTCCAGTGAAGATGGATATCAGTTCTGCATGTAATTTTGGTGATATTAATTAATGTGATATTAATTAATGTGATATTAATTAATCCCACTTTGTATTTCTAGGATTTGTTCTCTGTTCCAAACCACAAGGGTGCCTTGTAGTACAAATATAGAATTGTACAGTGTTGCAGTTTAGCTATCTTATGGGAAAATGTAGTGGATAGATGTTATTCCTATTTATTTATTATTATTTGTAGTATTCTTCTCTTTTCATTTCTTCAGGTATCTTCACAACCACAGTTTTTTGGAGTCTGTCACATTGCTGTTGTCCAATCCAATAACAAATGTGCACCCTGGAGTGCTTCAGTCTGTCAGAGATATTCTGAGGTTTTTAGCACAGTCACAGAAAGGTCTCCTTTTTTTCCTCTCTGAATACGAAGCCACTAATTTGCTGGTCCGAGCATTTTGTCAATTTTCGGATCCCGATCAAGAAGAAGGCCTGCAAACCGATGGGGCAGGCGATGAAGCATTTCCCTTATGGCTTCTTCATTCGACCCAGACGCTGCAGTGCATTTCAGAACTATTCAGCCACTTCCAGCGTTGCACAGCCACTGATGAAACTGACCATTCGGATCTCCTGGGAACACTTCATAATCTTTACTTGATCACATTCAACCCCGTAGGAAGAGCTGCTGTTGCCCATGTCTTCAGCCTTGAGAAGAATCTCCAGAGCCTTATTACTTTAATGGAGTTCTATTCCAAAGAAGCATTAGGGTAATGGTTTATTATTAGATTTATATCTGTCTTCGTTTTGGGCAGCTCAAGAAAATGTACACAATGCTGCTGTTTTCTACTCGTTCCACAGATGAGGTGGGTTGGGCAGAGAGAGTGTGACTGGCCTCATCACGAAATGTTATAATACGTTAAGTGATGTCTCTGAGGGCTCCTGTACAGATAGTCTTCAAGTTATGGCCATTCCTTCAGCGACCATTCAAAGTTGTGATGGTGCTGAACAAAGGGACTTAAGACTGGTCCTCAAGAGGTCTGGTCATTGCAACACTCCTGCGGTCATGTGAACTAAATTTGAGCACTTGGCAAACAGTTTGCACTTAAAACTGCGTCCCATGGTCACATAATCGCCATTTGTGAGCTTCCATGAAGGCTTCCCTTGCAAGCCAAGTCAATGGGAAAGTCATTAGGAAAGGACACAAGTTGCTTGGTTAAGTCTCCTCCATTCCCAGATTTTATATGCTGCGGTGTCATTTCGCCCTTCTCTTGCATGCACACTAAACCCTCTTTTCCCACATCTTTGTGCTCTTACACACCTGGCACCTTTCCCCCCAATCTTCCTCAGCTTGAGCCATACTGCAACATTCTCTTCCCGCACAGCCTCCACTGCCTCCCCCACCCTATGCACCTTACCTGGGATTCCTGCTTTCTTCCTAATGACCCTGTGCAACTGGAGTGATGACATCACCCGGGATTGCCTGGGATGTAGTCACTAAGCAGGGCTATCATATGATATGGCTTATAAGCATATTGCTTAGTAACAGCAATTCTGATTCAAATTGTAGTCATGGCGTGAGGACTATCTGTAACAGGATCATAGAAACTCAACTGAGTTAATTTATTAATTAAAGATTATTGCTTGTTTTTAAGTACTGTTCTCTATTTGCACTGTAATGAGTATTAAAAGTAGAAGGAGTATGAAAGAATAGGATGGCTTGGTAAAATCTCTTTCAACTTTAATGATAACTATATTGGTCTCCTGTGTTTAATATAAGATGGAATCCTGTGCTGGGCAGGTGAGAATCCTCTCGCACAGCTGCCTTTTCTTCTTCTGTGAGTTCTGTGTGTCCACTAAATCTCTGGGAAGCTAGTAATGGAAACTTAATCTCTGAGTTTTATGCTTAGTATGCAGACTAAAACATGAAATGAAGTAATATGAAGCAAATTAGTAAGTTGTAGGGGTTTTTTTTAAACTTGCATTTCAGTGATTCCAAATCCAAAAAGTCAGTTGCCTACAATTATGCCTGCATCCTTGTTCTACTGGTGGTACAGTCTTCAAGTGATGTCCAGATGCTTGAGCAGTACTCAGCACCCCTGCTGAAGCTTTGCAAAGCAGATGAAAATAATACAAAGTTACAAGGTACAGTGTTTGTTATTGTTGGACAATGTTTTAAATGATGTAGGAGAAATACTTCTGATATTCTGTTTCACTATTGCTATTGTATGATCATTGAAAGATCTTTATCTTATACAGTTGTTTTTAAACAGAAAAAATTCCCTGGTTTGTATAATATACTACTCATGGAGAGATGCCATAAAATAAATTGAAATAAATATTTAGACTGATATTCTATAATGATGAATCAGTTAGATTCTTTAAATCAACTCTTGTTTCCACATCACTTATTCCTGTACATTTTTAAAATGAAGTGGGCTGATCCTACATTCTACGTTCCCAAACAGTATTGGGATTTTTGTCCCTTGAATAGTTATCACTTGCTGTTCCCCAACATTATAGATTTAATGTGTTTTAATATCAAAAGTGCTGTCAAAAGTGTGTAAGTTTGCTATTGAGTGGAAAGGACAATCCTGATAGATACATCTGATTTCTTTCATCCATGTACTTCCAGTCATTTTGTTTCCTTTAAAGTATAATATTTAAAATCTTAATTTTATTTGTATTAATGATTTTAACTTGTAGTTCTGTTCTGTTTCTGTAGCTGTATTTCATTAATCATCTATGTTGGTGGTTGATGTAATTTAAGTGTCTGATATTTCATTGATGGAAAGATGCTTTTGAATACAATATGAATAAGAAGTCTCGGAGTTGTATAGAATAATTTTTTCTTTTTGCTGTGAAATTCATCTAGATAGAAAAAACAATATTACTGTTTTATTATTTTGCTCTAAAACTTTACATGTTAAATATAGGGGAGACATCTGTTGGGAATAAACTGGGAGTGTGTGCTGACAGTCCTGTTTATCAAGGAAAAGGTCCAATCTTTTGAATGCAAACTGGCTGAACTAGAGATGTTTAGATGTATAAAGTCTGGTCCTTCTACCCAGAACAATGGCGATTTCTTGTCAGGAAGAATGAGAAGCTTGGGGAAGGAGGATATGATTGCAGTGATAAAGGAGATATTTTCAAATTTGGGATTCAGTTCTTGGATGATGGAACCAATATGCTTTAGTCCTAAAAATATTCTATGAGAGGGACAGGGCTTTTGTTATGGATCATTCAATGTTTGGAATTTGTGATGTGAAAAATAGATCTTCCTAGTGCGAAGGTAATGGATGTTATCTGTAATCTAGATAAGTTGTAAATAGTACTCAGAAAGTAGTGGTGCTTGTAATCCATATTGGCATCTGTGATATCGGGCAATATAACCAGCCAATCTTGGAAGTCACATTTGGGCTGCTAGGCGGGTTCACAGGTTCCAAGGCTGCATTCTTAGAAATGGCATCTGATTTATATGCAAGCAGAGCATAAAGGCTCAGTGCATGGACCCTGGGAGAAAGTGCCAGCCTTTTGATATGGACAAATCAGGAAGCAAATACCACAACAGATGCTGTCTCAAGATGGCTTTCTTCTGGCCAGTCAGATTAACCAGCCTTTACTTATGATAAACAAGCCAAACATTTCTTTAATAGTGCTCTTTATATGTTCCTTTGTACTGTATATGAACTTAAAGACCTTGCCCAGGCCTTTGGGAGAACATCTGACATCCCTTTCTTTTTGTTCCCTTTGGGCTGGAGGTTTGTTTTCTTTACCACTTTTGTTCTTTTGTCTGGTACTGTTTTTTGTGGGTTTTTTCCAAATGTTTTTAACTACTGTTAAATATCCAAAGTTGGGAGTTGGGCAACATATACTTTTACTATATTATTCTTTATTTTACTATATTTATTATTATTATTTTACTATATTATTTATTATTATTATCGTAAATAAGGAGTTGTAAGGAAAAATAGTGGAGAATATTCAAACTGAATTATAAAATTGTATAAAAGGTTCTTAGACTTTTGGTTAAAAATGAGTATTGTGTTCCTAGTGTGCATATGTGACAAAGTCTGTTCCCATTGTTTAAGATTCAATCAGTTTTAGAACCAAAAGGCCTGCTGCTCTAATTATTTTTACATTTTCTTGAATGCCTCATGTAACATTCATCAAATGATTTTGTTTGTTTTTAGAACTTAATAAATGGTTGGAGCCATTGAAAACAATCCGATTCGAAATTAATTGTATCCCAAATCTCATTGAATATATTAAACAGGTCAGTAAAATAAATAAGTAAAAGCATATGGGTAAGTGTGTTTTTACTGTACTATGTAACAAATTTTGTAGTTTTTACATGGTTTTCATTGCCATCCTTGGACAGCAAGATGAATGGCATATAAATTTAATAAATAAAGAGTAAAAATATATATATATTACCTTAGAATAGCAAACTGCTCATCTTTTTGAATAAATGTATTTTGAAGTTAAATTTAGTTCAGATTATGTTGAAAATAGACATGCTGATCAATTAAAATGTTTTGTGAAGGGAAAAAAATGGATTGGCAATCCTGTGATTACTGTTCACTTTGGGTTGCTAGATCGGTCCCTCATGTCAACACTGAGTAAAATGTTTTGTGAAGGGAAAAAAATGGATCGGCAATCCTGTGATTACTGTTCACTTTGGGTTGCTAGATCGGTCCCTCATGTCAACACTGAGCTACAAATATTCTCCTTTATGGAATCTAAATTGGTCCTCCCATCCTTTATTCTATTTACAGTTTTACTTAAATATTCATGAAACAATAAATACATGCTAACATTTAGTTTGGTATCCAAATATTCTAAATATTGGAATGGTGAGCTTACAGAACACATACAAATTGTTCACTTTTAAAAACAAAGCTGGATGTATTGCACAATAAGGAAGGATCAGATCTTGAACCAAATCCATTGCTAGACTGTTGAAGTTACATAAGCCAGGCTTTCCATATCTCTGTGCTTTCTATATAAGTGAACTTCAAATCCTAAAATCTATAGTATTAGGCAATATGGAGAACTGTGGCTTTTGCGTTTCTGTTTTGGTTACGTACAAAAATTAAATGGATCTCTCCATTGTTTGTGCAGAAGCAGTGTTTGTCTGTTAAATCAGATATATATCCCTTTTGAATATTTTTAATCATTATGTACTTCTTTATTTTAAAGAACATTGATAGCTTGATGACTCAGGAAGGAGTTGGTCTTCCTACAGCACTTCGTGTCTTGTGTCATATTGCATGTCCTCCACCTCCTGTTGAAGGTACAATCTTTAACTTCTTAGTTCTCATTCACTAGAATGTATTGTATTAAATCACACAAACATTTTAAAATATATTGTTCTTTGCATACTGATCATATAAACTCTGGAGTGATTCTCAGATTATTCTGTTGAGTGAAAAAAATATGTAAAAATATTTACCTTTGGTCACCAACAGAATCATTGCATCCAATTTCTATTAATTATAAAGTCAAAAATAAAATATAAAGATTTTTCTTCTTTTTATTTCTCCTATCATTTATAAAGGTCAGCAGAAGGACCTTAAATGGAACCTTGCAGTTATTCAGCTCTTCTCTTCTGAAGGAATGGACACATTTATCAGAGTTCTGCAAAAACTAAACAGCATTCTTATTCAGCCCTGGAGACTCCATGTCAACATGGGAACAACTCTTCACAGAGTCACTACAATCTCCATGGCCCGATGTACTCTCACACTTTTGAAGACCATGTTAACTGAATTGCTACGGGGAGGATCCTTTGAATTTAAAGATATGCGTGTTCCTTCAGCACTTATTTCTTTACACATGCTTTTATGTTCTATAACCCTCTCTGGGCGTTTGGACAGTGATGAACAGAAAATCCAGAATGATATTGTTGACATCTTGTTGACTTTCACCCAAGGCGTTAATGAGAAGTTAACTATCTCCGAAGAAACTCTAGCCAATAATACTTGGTCGCTAATGCTCAAAGAGGTTCTTACTTCTGTTCTAAGAATCCCAGAAGGATTTTTCTCTGGCCTCATATTGCTTTCAGAACTACTGCCTCTTCCTCTGCCTATGCAGACCACTCAGGTAAATAAAAACTATTTAAAATGATTTTAAAAATCAACTGATCTGAAAGTTGAGGAGCTATGAAACATATTTATGAATTTTACTTTTATTAATATTTGTATGCCACACCCAGATGTGTAAACTTGTTTCCATTTATGTGGAAGCAATATAGCAAGGGTCACCAAACTTTCAGACCTCAGGGACCACTAAATTCATAATTTTAAATCCCGTGGACCACTAATATGAATTTTTTAAAAAGGACAGTATTTAGTGCAATATAAAAAATGCAAATAATTTTTCTGTGGACCACCAAAATTTTCTCGTGGACCACCGGTTGGTGACCGCAGCTCTACAGGGCTGTTTTGTGTGAATAATTTTGAGTATGAATTCCAATTGACGTACTCTCCTTGGCAATTTTTCTTGGAACTCCTCATTCCATTCATATACATTTTCTATAACATTCCAGAGTAGAGAGTAGCACAGCATACTGCAAATGTATGATTATTATGCATTTGAGAGGATTATTTTGTTTTCCATAGGTTATTGAACCACATGATCTATCAGTAGCTCTCAATACTAGAAAACTTTGGAGCATGCATCTTCATGTCCAGGCAAAATTATTGCAAGAAATAGTACGATCCTTTTCTGGCTCCACTTGCCAGCCTATTCAGCATATGCTAAGGCGCATTTGTGTACAGTTGTGTGACTTGGCCTCACCAACGGCTCTCCTTATTATGAGAACTGTCTTAGATCTACTTGTAGAAGATCTGCAAAGGTACATTTCAATATTTTGTTTAATATTGCCTAAACAAGATGACTATTGTTTAATAATTTTTCTAGTTATTTGTCAAAAGTAGAAAAGTTGATCTCCATTGGTCACAATTTTGCCTTCTCACAATTGAATGTAGATTTAAAAGGTCCTGCATGGGCTATGTTCTTAGTCATTTGCTTTGGACCAATTTTTTTTAAACTGAACTTTCTTTGTTTTTCCTTGAGGACATTTTGCTTCTCGTCCAAGAAGCTTCTTCCAGAAGTGAGAAGTGAAGAGGCTTCTTGGATGAGAAGAAGTATCTTTGGAACTACCAAGACCTGGATGACTGAGAATCTCCATAAGCAATTGCTTTGGATTCTATGCCTTCTGTTGCTTCAGTCATGTGATTGTCCAGCCAGACATTCTGTAAGCACCAATTTGTATTGTGGGCTGGGGATGTGGCAAGAAGCAGTTTTGATCTTTGAATAGTGTGTCAGATATTAGGGAGTTGCACACCAAAACATATTTTGTTTTGTTTCATTTCAATCCTAGAACAACAAGTTAGTGGACTAGTATAGAGAAGTGAGTGAAACAGGAAAAAGAAACCCTCCAAAAATTAATTCTATTTCCTGAATATTTGCTTTTCATTAAAGTCACTTAAATACCACTAACAATATTTCCAATGTCACAAGTAATCCCAGTAACTTTCCAATAGGTGGAAGTTTAACAGTTGTTCAAGAATGAACATTGTGTGTGTGTGTGTGAATGAATGGGAATATTCAAACTTGCATGTTTGTCTTTGTTTGCATTTCTACCGAGTGTGCTATCATCCTAATAAAAGAAATTTGTCCTCATTTCAGCAACCCAGAAGATAAGGAGAAACAATACACTGTTCAGACAACCCGCTTGCTTGCTTTATTTGATGCTCTGGCTTCTCACAAAGCTTGTAAATTGGCTATTTTGCACCTGATTAATGGAACTGCTAAAGGCGATGAAAAATATACTGAAGTTTTCCTAGAACTTTTGTCTTTGATGCAAACTCCAGGGGAAAACATAATTCATCAGCAGTGTGCAGAGTACTTAGCTTCTATTTTGCAGTCCTTCTGTGACCAGGTATTTAAAATGGAAAATTTAAAGAAGAATGTAATGTAATTTTCTTTGTTCTTTACATGTTCCCATGGTTACGTCTTCATAGAGTTAGATACATGAATGTACTGTTATGCATTGGTAGTCTGTGGAAGAATGGACTATAGGTAGTCCTTGCTAAACCATTGCCCTGTTTAGCGACCACAGAAGTTATTACAGGGCTGTAAAAAAACACTGCTCAAAAAATAAAGGGAACACAAAAATAAGACCTCCTAGATCTGAATGAATGAAATATTCTTATTAAATACTTTGTTCATTACATAGTTGAATGTGCTGACAACAGAATCACACAAAAATTATCAATGGAAATCAAATTTAGCAACCCATGGAGGTCTGGATTTGGAGTCACACTCAAAATTAAAGTGGAAAAAAACACTACAGACTGATCCAACTTTGGTGTAATGTCCTTAAAACAAGTCAAAATGAAGCTCAGTAGTGTGTGTGGCCTCCACGTGCCTGTATGACCTCCCTACAACACCTGGGCATGCTCCTGATGAGGTGGTGGATGGTCTCCTGAGGGATCTCCTCCCACACCTGGACTAAAGCATCCCCCAACTCCTGGACAGTCTGTGGTGCAATGTGGCGTTGGTGGATGGAGCGAGACATGATGTCCCAGATGTGCTCAATTGGATTCATGTCTGGGGAATGGGTGGGCCAGTCCATAGCATCAGTGCCTTTGTTTTGCAGGAACTGCTGACACACTCCAGCCACATGAGGTCTAGCATTGTCGTGCATTAGGAGGAACCCAGGGCCAACCACACCAGCATATGGTCTCACAAGGGGTCTGAGGATCTCATCTCGTTACCTAACTCAGGCTACCTCTGGCGAGCACATGGAGGGCTTTGCGGCCCACTAAAGAAATGCCACTCCACACCATTACTGACCCACTGCCAAACCGCTCATGCTGGAGGATGTTGCAGGCAGCAGAACGTTCTCCATGGAGTCTCCAGACCCTGTCACGTCTGTCATGTGCTCAGTGTGAACCTATTTTCATCTGAAGAGCACAGGGTGCCAGTGGCGAATTTGCCAATCTTGGTGTTCTCTGGCAAATGCCAAACATCCTGCATGGTGTTGGGCTGTAAGCACAACCCCCACCTGTGGACAACAGGCCCTCATACCACCCTCATGGAGTCTGTTTCTGACCGTTTGAGCAGCCACATGCACATTTGTGGCCTGCTGGAGGTCATTTTGCAGGGCTCTGGCAGTGCTCCTGTCCCTCCTTGCACAAAGGCGGAGGTAGCGGTCCTGATGCTGGATTGTTACCCTCCTACGGCCTCCTCCACGTCTCCTGATGTACTGGCCTGTCTCCTGGTAGCGCCTCCATGCTCTGGACGCTACGCTGACAGACACAGCAACCCTTTTTGCCACAGCTTGCATAGATGTGCCATCCTGGATGAGCTGCACTACCTGAGCCACTTGTGTGGGTTGTAGACTCCGTCTCATGCTACCACTAGAGTGAAAGCACCGCCAGCGTTCAAAAGTGACCAAACCATCAGCCAGAAAGCATAGGAACTGAGAAGTGGTCTGTGGTCACCATCTGCAGAACCACTCCTTTATTGGGGATGTCTTGCTAACTGCCTATGCTTTCCACCTGTTGTCTATTCCATTTCCACAACAGCATGTGAAATTGATTGTCAATCAGTGTTGCTACCTAAGTGGACAGTTTGATTTCACAGAAGTGTGATTGACTTAGAGTTACATTGTGTTGTTTAAGTGTTCCCTTTATTTTTTTGAGCAGTGTATAACTTTATGACTGGTCCTCGCGTTTATGACCATTGCAGCATCCTGTGCTCATGTAATCACAATTTGTGTGCTTCACAGCCAACAAACAGAATCAATGGAGAAACCAGCAGCAAAATCAAATTTATGGTCATGTGATGTCTTATTTAATGACTAGAGGTTATTTGTTTAATAATTGCGGTGGAAGTAAGGTCATAAGTCTTTTGGGGTTACATTTTGTCTTGTTTAGTGATGGAGTTGTTGGTCGCCAATTCTTGTCATTAGGACTACTTCCAAAGACATTCTTTTTCTTGGAAACAGTTGTGCTGTATATCAGAACAGATTCAAAATCTTGTCTGCTGTACTATGGTAGTACAACCAACCTATGCGTGTTTACATTCTGGGTTTGTTTTTGTTTTTTGTGATTTCCTTCCTTGGAAACTTCCCCAAAATTAAATGCTGACATTTCTTCAGATTATTTCCCCCCATGTAATTTATCACTTGAACAGAATCAACAGAATGAATTTCTTCTGAACCAGCTCCCCAAACACGACAAACCCTCTGAAGTTAACTCAAAGATTCCTTTATTAGGAGCGCCAGCATCCCTGGCAAAAAGTTTATCTCTTACCGCAGGCTAACAAGTCCACCTGCCAGGGAGATGAGTAGTTGTCTGTCACATCTATTCATCTCTGCCCCCTGCCCTTTATACCAGTGGTCACCAACCAGTGGGCCGGGGACCACTGGTGGTCCGCGAAAATTTGTTGGTGGTCCGCAGAGAAATGTCCCCCCCCCAAAGCAATTAATCCAGGCTGCGCAGGAACACAAGGCTGTGTCGCCCACATGGCCCACCCACCCACTGGCCCCCACCCTTCGGCCTAGCGCAAACCTTACCTTGAGTAGAGCCTCATGAGCTGAAACTGGAAGGTAAGACCAACGGCGGGGGAGGGAAATCGCCCCAGGGTGGCTTGCTGGCATTGGTGGGAAAGTCGGTCCCATATTCCAGAGCTGCAATAGTCACAAGACTGGCCCTTTGGTCATCCTGGAGCAGCTCCTCCAGTCCATGGCAGGCCGGTGCACCCGGATAAAAGAGCAGCTGCTCCGGGATGACCAAAGGGCCAGTCCTGTGACTATTGCACCTCTGGAATATGGGACTGACTTTCCCACCAACATCAGCAAGCCACCGTCAGTCCAAAAGGTTGGCGACCCCTGCTTTATACCCAGAGCTAGGGGTGGGTCTTCGCTAGCAGCAGTGGCTCTTCCTTCCCAAGGATCGGCCCATGGATTTCCACTGTTCTCCTCTCCTCTGCCTTCTGCGCATCCATGCATCAGGCACTAGACCCAGCTGTTCCTCCTCTTCTTCATCTCTCATTCTCTCTCTCATATTCTAGTGATATTTTAGTTTTAAATGACTTAGTTTTGCTGAGCTTCCTGAATTAAATCTCAGTTGCTGTTTCTGTGCAAATAATAATTCTAAATGAGTATTCTCTTAGAAAAAAGTCTCTAATATCGAATATAGTAGACATGCTTAAGTTCACTAGTTAAGATTCAAAAGACTTCCTCTTTAGAAAACTTTGCATTGGAAATAATGCAGCAATTGACAACTGAGTCCCAAGAGATCATTATGCTTACGGATACTTATGTTGATACATGTCAGACTTCCAACACTAGATGTTCCAAGTACCCAAAACTATAAATTTCATTCTTTGAAAGTAAGAATGATAGGTAGTTGAGTCCAGCATGTTGAAAGCATGTTCATCTGCTGAGAAAAGCAAACTTCTTTATTTCCAAATGTTACAAAATTGGCATTTTGTGATGCAGTTTCCACTTTGTTGCCATTTTGTAAGAATGTATACAACACACTCTCAAAATCCCCAACATGCCTACTGACCTAAAAGAGTTACCTATTAGTCAATTATTATGAGCAGTAAATCTGCTTTCTATGCCAATAGCATTACGACTTGTAGGGAGTTTCAGATATTGTTTGTAATACATTGGTCTGTTATGCGAAAAAGAGAAAAGGCATTCTTCCTGAACATTCTATATTAGCTCTTTGAGTCCCAACTATTGCTTGCATTGCCATAATTATAAAAATATGCCCCTGCCTTTCAGTAACGCATTGTGGTGTTTTTTTTTACAGGACATTGCCCTGATTTTGCCCAGTTCCTCAGAAAGCACTCTTTCTGAATTGGAGCAGCTTTCCAATTCATTACCAGGCAAGGAACTCATGGCTTCCATCTGTGATTGCCTGATAGAAACAGTTATTAATGCCGAAAGCAGCTATACCTGCTTGCTGACTTGTATCAGGACAATGATGTTCCTTACAGAGCACAATTATGGATTCTATCATTTGAAAAGGTATAATTTCCCCATTTCAAACGTTTCTAAAAGTACCTGTAAATTTTGTGTAATTCCCATTCATTTTCAGTGGAAATTAGTCATATCAGTTCAACACCAGAAAAAGTTGCAGTGAAAATCAGTGGCTGAAAAATTAGCTTCCTAAAGCGAGCTTTGTATCCTTCAATGCTGTTTATGTCCTGTTTCTTACAATTAAATTTTAAGATGAGTATTCAAGTAAAATTCCTCACTGAAATTCTGAAAGTTGATCTTGGAAGAACTTGATATATAAGTTCGTCCCAGAGGTGATAATTGGGACTATAAAACTCTATGTGCTTTGTTCAGTGATGTCATCCCATTTGCATCAGTTTGCAGATTTATAAAGAGAATAAAGTATTCTGCGTCCTGCTGTCTTCTTTTCTCCCATGCATTGGGCCATGGTGGTGGATGAACCCATTTGTAATAGTTAATATGGAAAGGTTGTGGGTTGGCTCCAATGATGTCGTGCTTCATGGAAATGAGTTAAGAACATTCCTCAACAATAAGAATTGCAACCGGTCTTTTAGAGGGTATTAGAGGCTGTTTTGGCTATCTATTGCTATGGCAATTATTTTAGAAGAGACCTCCTCTTGTGCAAATGAAGGAATAAGAAGAATTGCCTCCTAGATGACAATTCTGTTTATCAATTCTGCAATTAAAATGTTTTTTTTGTGTGGTTTAGATATTGTAACTGGCTGACTAATCTTAAAGTATTGTAGCAGTCTGTGAGTTGTGCTGCACCTAAGAATATTAAGTATAATGAAATTATTTCACATTTATCTAGCAATATTCACTCCTTTATGAAGACATGAACTAGCTGCTTCTTAGTCTCTTGATCACTTATGTGCTACATTAAATTCAGTAGGTAAAGTAAAATATTTCTTTCTTTTTTTTAAATAACCTTAGTTCTCTGGCAAAACATTGTGGGGCTCTGCAAACAGTACTGAAGAGAATAGTGAGCAGCTTCAGTAAAGACACAGGAGAACTGGCCTCTTCCTTTCTGGATTTTATGAGACAGATACTAAATTCTGATCCTTTGGTAAGTAAATACAAGCTTACATTTTTCAGCAATGTTACCATTGTATTGCAATTTAGCAATGCTATCTAAATACTTTCTAAACAAAGTATCAGTTTAGTTTGTTAGTGTTGATTTTAAGGCTATTTCGTTAAAGAAATTGCTTTTCTGTTGCTAAAATATGCAAGGTGCATCTCCTAATTTTTTAAAAAAAGAATCTCTACAATAACTTCATCAAAGAAATAATAAAACATAAAATGATAGGAATATCAGATGGTTTTCAATAAGGAAATGTGTCCAGGCTTTTGAGTAGGGTAGTTGAAACTTCTCTTGAGTAATGTTTGCATGTTTTTGTTGTTGCTTGTTGGTTTTGCCATTGTTTTATTAATTTGCCTTTACTGTTACTGTATTGTTATATTGTTCAATTGTTATTTTTTCTTACTTTGTGAACCACCCAGAGTTGCTTAATAAATAAATTTATTCATCAAGTAATTCAAACGACTATTCTCAGAATGTTGAAAATGCTACCTATTAATATGATTATAGAGAAATAAAAAGTTCTAAGAACAATTATGTATGAACACAGAATCAACATTTAAGATGGTTTTGTGAAAGAGTTTCATATGATGGATCTACAAGTATAAAAAAGCATTTTGCAAAATTCCTTTGATGTGTATTCTGTAAGCATGTTTCCACATGGCTATTGAAAATGAAAGACGTCTCATATTGATCTATTTAGTATTGAAAGGAGATTTGTCTTAAAGGACAGAATGAGTGTATACTTCTTTATTTTAAATATATTTTTTATTAAATTTACCAAATTATAAAAAAGAAAATGAAAATGAAAATAGTGGGAAAATGGGGAATGGTAAAAGGAGGACAGAGAAGTGTAGGATAAAGAGGAAAAAAGATAAGCATTAACGTCTGACTCTTCAGAGCAGTAAGTTAGAAATAATAAGATTACAGCTTCAACTTTTTACTTTTGCTTGCTTAATATATATCTTAGCCATTTCTGTAACAAATTAGTACATTCTTTTTGATGAAAACAAGTGTACCCAAAGCTATATTTTACAACTGTTACAAAGATTCTTATGTTTGTTTACCCTGGAGATTATGTTGTTGTTTAGCTTGGAGATTCGGTTGAAAGTTTGTTTATTTTATATGTCCTTCATTGGCAACGTTATGTTGCATATAACATGGCTTTTTATACATCTTGCAGTACTACTTCATTTAGATATTTCTTCATGTTCTTCAGGGATGTTGTGGGGATGATGGGAGTCTTGTGGAAGTAGATGGAAGTCATCCCACCAGAACACTGGGTCTTAGCACTGCAGAATTAAAATATCAGTTGCAAACCAAAGAAGAGACTCCTGAAAACCTGCTCCTTGAACTGGAGAAACTGGTTTTGGTAATGTACCTTTCACTAAAAAATAATATATTTATTTAATATAAGTGCAAATCTATACAGTACTAAGATTGGATATAGACAGTCCTTGACTTATGACCACAATTGAGCCCAAAGTTCATGTTGTTAAGCGAGACATTTGTTAAGTGAGTTTTGCCCCATTTTGTGACCTTTCTTGCCACAGTTGTTAAGTGAATCATGGCAGTTATTAAGTTAGTTACATGACTGCTAAGTGAATCTAGTTTACCCATTGACTTTGCTTGTCAGAAGGTCGGAAAAGGTGATCACATGGCCCCAGGACACTGCAACTGTCATAAATATGAGTCAGTTGCCAGGCATCTGAATTTTGATCATGTGAGCATGGGGATGCTGCAGCGGCCATAAGTGTGAAAAATGGTCATAAGTCACTTTTTTCAGTGATGTTGTAACTTTGAACAGTCTCTAAATGAACAGTTGTAAGTTGAGGACTGCCTGTATTATATGCACATTATTCAGACTGAATAGTTATTGTAGCTAATGAGAGAAATATAAAATTAATCTTATCACATTTTTGGATGATAATACAGTCATCCTGATTTTCTTGATCATGGTTGCCATTCTGCATTCATTTAGCTTTTCACATAATTCTCTGCCTGCATTTATCAGTCTTCATGGTTACTTGGTCTTGTTGTCTACACATCCTTTTGATCTTACATAACCTAAGTGTGTTGTTTTGTAGTGCATCATCTCTAATGGGAATCCAAAATAAACATATTCTGGTGAAATGCTCTCTCTCTATATCTTGTTAACTGTCCAGAATGCTAGATTTTATATGATTGACGACTGTAGATTTTCTTATCTAGGAGTGTTCTAAGGAAGAAGAGACCTTGGAATCGTTACTGGATAATGTTGTTGGACTTAGGCAGATGTTGGAATCTGCTGGAGAGGCTTGTCCTCTAAGTGATCAAGATGCGGAACCAATTTTGCCTGCTCCAGAATCTCTCCAACATCTATTTAATAATAGGTAAAATAACAAGAAGACATTTGCATGGACAAGAGAAGTATAATATTTGGAATTGGTATATTTGGATCACATTGAAATAAATGAGTTTATTTTCAAGGGCATTGTGGAGCACAATAGAAATTCTTAAGTGCTGTTGTATAATTCTTAATACTATATTTATTCTACTAAAATTATTAATTTCATTTCTCTGTAAAATGGCAGTAGTTTTGTTGGTTATGGACTACTCTTTTGTCTTCAGTTAAGAACAGATCTTCATAAAGATGTAATAGTGTGGGCTACAAGAAGTTTTTTGGCAGGGTAATTATAATTTGGGCTTAGAACAAGGTTTAGTAAATATGTAGTTTGAGGAATGAGATGAAAAGTTTCAATGAATTTAGTAGCGTCAACTTAACAAATATTGACTACTAATGAAAGCTGTGTTTTACTTTGCAGGACTATGTACATCTTGGCAGATGTGATGGATGACCAGTTGAAGTCTATGTGGTTCTCACCATTCCAAGCTGAAGAAATTGAAACTGACCTTGACATGGTAAATAATTAAAAAGTAATTGTTGGGTAATATATTTCAACTCCGAGAGTAATATTGTAATGACTTAACTTCTATGTTAAGCTTGCTAGCATTTGGGATTATCCAGTATAATTTTATATTCGGTTTTTCATATGAACATCCTCTTCCTCATCTTGAATTATATATTTCAGCATCTTTTTCTAAATTCCCTTTGTTTGAAAAACAATTTACTACCATAGATGCCATAAATATCTTCTTTGATTACAATAAATATAATTTTTAGTACATGTGACCCTTTTCTACTTTTGACCCTAGGCATAATATTTGACATATTTGGTCAGCCTGGGGACAGAGATGATACTAATAGTTGATTCCTGTATTACTTTGCAAAAATCCCTTTGATTTGATAAAGCTGATGAAGAGGAACTTATCTACAGAGATTTGCTACAATTTGTGACTCTATTAAATTTGAAGTCCTATGCCTCTCAGTTGATACTGTTTTTTTCTAAATTCTTGTGGTCAAGGATCAGGTTTGTAAATCTGTCCAGTCAGTGCTAGTGAATGGTACATTCTGCAAAGTGTTTTGAATTTGAAGTGCCTTGAGTTTAATAAATGAAGTAAATTAAAAGCTTTTATTTTAAAGAATGCCTTTAATTCACATTCCGCAAGCTGTTAACTAATAATTCTGGAGGAATTATATCTGCAGATAATTTCCATCTAATCTGCATGTTACTATAGTATAGTTTCTAAAGGAATAGGCTGATCAGGAGATTTTGATTCACCTTGCCACTCTACTAAGTCTTCTTCCTTTTCTATTTTTAGTGTAGCATATTTTCCATTCTAATTATATTGAATATTAATATGTTTATGTATTTACAAAGTGGAACATTTTCTCATTCTTTTAGGTGAAAGTTGACTTAATTGAACTGTCAGAAAAAGGATGTAGTGACTTTGATCTGCAAGCAGAGTTGGAGAGGTCATTTGTGACAGAGCCTTCCTCTCCTGGTCGGACCAAAACCACAAAAGGCTTTAAACTTGGAAAACACAAGCATGAGACATTTATAACTTCTAGGTAACTAGTGGTCTTGATTTTGCACATTTGTGTGTGTGCCTTCAAGTCATTGTTGACTCATGGCAACTGTCTGACAAGCCCCTGCAGATTTCTTGACAAGATTTCAGAAGTGGTTTGTCATTGCCTACTTCCTAGGATTGAAGGAGAATGACTGCCTCAAGATCATTCAGTTGGCTTCATTCCTAAAAGCCAGGACCAGAACGTACAGTCTCCTGGTTTCTAGCCTGATGCCTTTAATCAGTACATCAAACTGGCTCTGTACATGTACAGATAGATTTCACTTAATGACTGACTTGTTTAGCAGTGGTTTAAGATGCTAAAAAAGGTAACTTTACAATTGGTCCTTGCATTTACAACTGTCAACGTATCTCAGTAGTCACATGCTGGCTTCTGACAAGCAGAGTCAAAAGAGAAGCCAGCAATAAAATTGCAAAAGTTATGGTCACATGATATCTTGCATAAACTGGGGCTAATTCACTTAACAACCTCAGTGGAAGTGAGGTCATAAGTCCATCACAATCATGTGATATTTCGCTAGAAGTTTCTGCCCCAATTGTAGTCATTAAGCAAGCACTACCTGTATGTCTAATTATATACATGCAATACGTATACCTAAAGATGGATTTTTATTACTTCACTGCACTCAAAATTGCACTAAAATTGTAATTTTGAGACCATGATATAATGAGATTAACTGAACTGTGTTCACAAAGAAACTATTCAGCACATTGTTTGCATTGTTGCAGCAAACCTCTCATAAGCCTAATAGTTTACGTGGCCTATGCTAAATCATTCAAATTCCATGTATTTTATATCACATGTTTTAGAAAAATTGAACCCAGAAATGTCCAGTTTCGTAGTTTGGGAAACAAAACAAAACAAGCAAAAAAGTAAGAGTTGCTGAAAATGATGCAACTAACCAATGTGGGTGAGCTTCAGTCTGGATTATTTTGTCACAAAGAAGGTATAGTGGGCTCCAATGGAAGATGCACTTCTCTTTCTAAGATGTTAACAGATACATGTGCTAGAATGAAATAAGAATATGACAGATTGTTGAGAGAAGATTCTTTAAACCCCTTTTAGATTTAAATCTGAGATTTCGTATATTCCATAGAATATATCAATGAGTTATAGTAATACTGTTTGTACTTAACCGATAGGGAAACGCTTGCTTGAACTAGCAATGTCAACATAGTTCAATTCTGAGAAATATTCAGAAAAGTGACTACAAAATAACAAGAAAAGTTTGATGTGATTTTAGCCGACTTGTGAAGAATTTGTAAAAATTCTCCCTCTCTTTTGCATTTCTACAGTGGAAAGTCGGAATACATTGAACCTGCCAAGAGGGCTCATATTGTACCTCCCCCTAGAGGAAGAGGGAGGGGAGCCTTTGGCCAAGGCATCCGCCCTCATGACATCTTCCGTCAGAGGAAACAGAACACCAGCAGGCCGCCCTCCATGCATGTGGATGATTTTGTAGCTGCAGAGAGCAAAGAGGTGGTTCCGCCGGATGGGATCCCTCCTCCCAAGAGGCCACCTAAAGTTTCGCAGAAAATTTCTTCCCGTGGTGGCTTCTCAGGGAACCGTGGAGGGCGGGGAGCCTTTCACAGCCAAAACAGATTCTTCACACCACCTGCTTCGAAAGGTAAGTTATATGGTTCACTTGAACTTGAAAACTTTGAGCTCTTAGAAAGGCAAGTTGACAATAGGTTATCTCACATATTCCTTAAAGTGAAATTCATTGTCGTGCTGCTATGTTATTTATTTTTGCAAGTAAAAAGAAGCTGAATCTACAGGGTTTTTTTCCCCCACGTTCCTTCTCCTGTCCTCTCTGCTACTATTCCTATTTTAAAATGAGTAAAATTTATACATAATTTATAAGTAATTCATTTAGGCGAGGTGAGTGCTGTAGAAATTTATAAACAAATAGGGTATTGCAAAATAAATCAGAGTTTAACATTGCTCGCTTCCCACACTGTTATTACTTTTGTCAATATTTTAAATTATCGTGTTGTTAAACTGAGATGTTGTTAAATCTAAACTAAAATAAGAGCAATATGCATTTGGCTTAAATTGCACGTTTCATTTAGGAAATTACAGTCGTCGTGAAGGAGCCAGGGGATCAAGCTGGAGTGCCCAAAGCTCCCCCCGAGGAACTTACAGTGAAAGTCGAGGCGGACAGAGCAATTTCAGCAGAGGCCCACTTCCCCCTCTGAGGCCTTTAAGTTCTGCGGGTAAGGAATTGTTTTCCTCCATAGTATAATTAATTCATTTACACATTTTGTATCTAATTCTTCTTTGCATGGAGCTGTCAATATGCCTTACAAAACAAGGGTGAAATCACCAAACCACCATTGAGTGCAAAGGTAATCATCACAGAAAACAGAAGGTACCCCTTCCAGGCAGCATATTGTATAACAGACAGGACACAAACCCTATGGAACAATTGTTTGAGCAAGAACCCCAAGTTACTTTTTGTTTTTACTACATTATGTCACAGCAGGTTTGGCATCTTGCCAGCTTTGGTTGATCTCAGTGCAAGTTTGAACTTGGCTACTACCTGAGCGAAAGGACAATGGTAAAAACCAGGGCCGTAATCAAGGAGGGGGGGGGGAAATCACCCCAGAAGATGACAGTGGGAAGTTGTGTTTTGCTGCCAAGAAAATGACATGGACAATTTTGTGTTCTCTTCAATTTTTGAGCTTTATTTTATTGATTAACCCTGCCAAGACACCTTAGATAACTTAATATACTTTTTAAAAAAACCACAATAAAAAAATCCTAAAAAACATGACGGCAGATTTTCTTGGACTGACACCCATCAAAAGTTAATGACATGAGTTCCTTGCTAAGAACTTTAAAACTTATCCTCATAACAACTTGCATGTTTTACCTATTACAGGTATTTGTTAAATTACATAGCTTTAAATTAATTCAAACGGAAGTTGGAGATATGTATTAGACAGTATCAGAGTTAGTGTATCTTTTTCAGTCTTGGTAATTCTCACATTTTACACATTTTCAGTCAGTTATTTATCCTTGGTAGCAAGTTTTGATTTTAGCCTCACTAAATTCCAATCTTAATTCCCCCCCCCGCTCCCGGTCTCTTATATATTATCTTCATTCTTTGAACTGTATTCTTAGAAGCTTTAATTTGGCTATCTGAAGGGGCTTCAGTAAGAAGATTATAATGCATAAGTTGCAGATCCTACTAGAAATGCATAGGTTCTGTTGCCAATGACCTTTCCATTTGTTTAAGGCTACCGGCCAAGCCCCCGTGATCGTGCATCCAGAGGTCGTGGTGGAATTACACCATCTTGGGCAAGTACCAACAGCAGTGGTAGTGGTGGTTCAAGAGGAAAGTTTGTTAGCGGAAGCAGTGGAAGAGGACGTCACGTTCGTTCCTTTACTCGATAAACGGATCTCTGAGAACATTCTGACTCTGAACATTTCAAGATGATGGTGAAATACTTAAATATATTCGAGGACCAGTGCTTTCTGGTACCTGAGGGCAGCAAGATATTATTTTTTTTAGGGATTCAATTTTGTTTCATACAAGACCAGAGATTTCAATAAAACTGTCTTTTTTGTGTGTGTTATATTTGCCTGTGTTTGGGGCATGACATGGCAATGTGCCAGAAATAACTTTTTTTTTTTTGCAGTAGGTTTGCTTTCACCCAAGATACCATTAAGACTACCTCTACTAGGTAATGAATGAAGAACACCTTTTGGTGCTCTGAGATAACTGGATGTGTCAAGCACTTTCATAAAGCTCCAGCTGTTGCCTTATTTTTATTTGATCAACTTCTAAAGCTACCATTCATCAAACAACTCTGCATGTTGCAAGATCATTTTTAGATGAAGCCATTTCAGAAGAAAGATATACACTGCTCAAAAAAATAAAGGGAACACTTAAACAACACAATGTAACTCCAAGTCAATCACACTTCTGTGAAATCAAACTGTCCATTTAGGTAGCAACACTGATTGACAATCAATTTCACATGCTGTTGTGCAAATGGAATAGACAACAGGTGGAAAGCATAGGCAGTTAGCAAGACATCCCCAATAAAGGAGTGGTTCTGCAGGTAGTGACCACAGACCACTTCTCAGTTCCTATGCTTTCTGGCTGATGGTTTGGTCACTTTTGAATGCTGGCGGTGCTTTCACTCTAGTGGTAGCATGAGACGGAGTCTACAACCCACACAAGTGGCTCAGGTAATGCAGCTCATCCAGGATGGCACATCAATGCGAGCTGTGGCAAAAAGGGTTGCTGTGTTTGTCAGCGTAGTGTCCAGAGCATGGGGGCGCTACCAGGAGACAGGCCAGTACATCAGGAGATGTGGAGGAGGCTGTAGGAGGGCAACAACCCAGCATCAGGACCGCTACCTCCGCTTTTGTGCAAGGAGGGACAGGAGGAGCACTGCCAGAGTCCTGCAAAATGACCTCCAGCGGGCCACAAATGTGCATGTGGCTTCTCAAACGGTCAAAACAGACTCCATGAGGCTGGTAATGAGGGCCTGACGTCCACAGGTGGGGGTTGTGCTTACAGCCCAACACCATGCAGGATGTTTGGCATTTGCCAGAGAACACCAAGATTGGCAAATTCCCCACTGGAGCCCTTCACAGATGAAAGCAGGTTCACACTGAGCACATGTGACAGACGTGACAGGGTCTGGAGACGCCGTGGAGAACGTTCTGCTGCCTGCAACATCCTCCAGCATGACCGGTTTGGCAGTGGGTCAGTAATGGTGTGGAGTGGCATTTCTTTAGGAGGCCACACAGCCTTCCATGTGCTCGCCAGAGGTAGCCTGACTGCCATTAGGTACCGAGATGAGATCCTCAGACCCCTTGTGAGACTATATGCTGGTGCGGTTGGCCCTGGGTTCCTCCTAATGCAAGACAATGCTAGACCTCACGTGGCTGGTGTGTGTCAGCAGTTCCTGCAAGACGGAGGCATTGATACTATGAACTGGCCCACCCGTTCCCCAGACCTGAATCCAATTGAGCACATCTGGGACATCATGTCTCACTCCATCCACCCACACCACATTGCACCACAGACTGTCCAGGAGTTGGGGGATGCTTTAGTCCAGGTGTGGGAGGAGATCCCTCAGGAGACCATCCGCCACCTCATCAGGAGCATGCCCAGGTGTTGTAGGGAGGTCATACAGGCATGTGGAGGCCACACACACTACTGAGCCTCATTTTGACTTGTTTTAAGGACATTACACCAAAGTTGGATCATCCTGTAGTGTTTTTTTCCACTTTAATTTTGAGTGTAACTCCAAATCCAGACCTCCATGGGTTGCTAAATTTGATTTCCATTGATAATTTTTGTGTGATTTTGTTGTCAGCACATTCAACTATGTAATGAACAAAGTATTTAATAAGAATATTTCATTCATTCACATCTAGGATGTCTTGTTTTTGTGTTCCCTTTTTTTGAGCAGCGTATTATAGAAAGTTTAGGCAACTTGTAAATGCCACGTGTCCTATCTTTTTTTGTAAAACAATCAGTGCTTTCCATGTATTTAAAAAGCCGAAGATGAAGAAGAGACAGGTGTATGTTGATGGCCCAACAACCCTGGGGAGAGGGTTTATCTGAAGTGATATTACAGCTTCTGCTTTTGACAAAGTTACATTACAGTGGTTCACTGAGTATTGGAACCAACAATCAGGATTCCTGATGTTGGGATAGAACTACAGCTATACATGTAGCCCTCAATTTAGTAACTAGTTGGAACTTGGAACTTGTTTGTTAAGTGAAGTATGTGAAACTAAGTGAAACTGCAACTGCACTTGCTGAGAAGATTAATTCTGGTCTCTGGAGGTTGTCTGATGCCAAAATCCAAGCAGGATTTTCTGCCACGGAAGATTTTCAGTCCCAAAGTGAAAAGGATTCAAAAACCTTTTGACTTTGAGCCTGAAAATCCAAATGGCTCTGAGGCCCTTGTGCACAATCTCTTCTCTGACACTCCTCCACAATCTTGGATACCCTCCCTGGCTCATGCTGGAAAGAAGTTGCCTAAAGATCAGGGCATTTATTTAATGATGGCAGCCAGGACTGCCAGTCACACTTCAGAGCCACATTGCTTGGTGCCAGCAATCCCAGACTCAGTTGTCATTGTAGGTCAAGGACTACCTGACCTACAGCTGCTCTTCTGATCTTCCCCATCCACCAAGAACTTGAGGCGGGAATTGAGATAGGGTCCTGTGTCTCCATTTTGGTTTTCTCAATGACCGAGTAGGCCTGTTATTTAATATAACTTAACCAAAATCCCATCCTTCCAAATTTCAACTGGTTATATTGTATCAATGATAGTTACTGAGAGTGTGTCTTTATGGACATTTGCTTCGCTGAGACAGAAACTGGTGTTGAAGTTTTAGTATGTGAAGATAAATTTAAGAAATTTGTGGGGAAAATGGAACCATTTACAGCAGCGTACATACTTTTTCAGGCCCTGAGTTTTTCTACTTCTTTCCCAGGGCTATTTGGTAAGAATCACCCACTCTTTTGTTTACCTACGGTACCTACTTCTTTTTTTCTCCTGTTTCTTGCACCTCAAGTGTTCCATTAGACAGAAAGGGAACAATTAAGAGTTATTTTTGATTGTGATTTTTTTTTCATGCTGTTTTTGGATCTCGTCAGCCATTCATTCCTCTGTGTATATGCTGGGGTTGCGTGCCTCCCTTTGGATTTTCTGCCTTCCCTGGAGGTTCCAGGGTCTCCCTTGAGTTTCGAGTGAAGCATGTCCCTGTTTGAGTTTTCACTTCTCCCAGGGAAGCCTCCAGCCAACATCTTCATCCTCTGGGCCAGAAACGGAAAATGCACATTCCAATGGATCAGCATTTGAACAGCAATAGCCAACAACTTCCTGCACAGCTTCTCCAAAGCCATTTCCTGCCTCTCAAGCAACAGATTCAAATCTCTCTCCCCCTCATTTAACAGCTGAGATCTGCAGTATGTCCCCACAGCAGCTGAGAACAAGGGTTTTCTTCCAGGATTTAAGCCCCCAAAATCAATATATATACTAGGTTTGGCCTATATGAATGCCACCTCCATCTGCCCCAAAATAGTCCTGGTTAGCAGCCAGAGCAAATCATTTGCTCCTGGGATGATATAGTGTAGTTGTGCTCTTAATATCTCAGACAAGCAGGAAAGCAACCAGCCTGGCCATGAAATTCATGCTGCATGCCATAGTATCACTACTGAGGTTTTTTTTTTTGAAGAGCATATCGGGCAGAATTCGAGCTTTAGTACTTTTATCTAATTCGTTCACATGTTAAGTCATGAAATAGTTTGGTTTCATATGTACCATTTGTGACTTGGGTTAACATAGTTTCAGTTGTTTTACTTCCATCAAACTTTTATCAGTATTAACAGCACCATGAATACAACAGTCAAATTTCTTTTTAGTCCAAGGGGGTGAAGGATCAGTGTAAAAAAAAAGTTTTGTTTGGCTACTTCAACTAGCCCAGACACAATGAACTCCTCTTTATTTGTTGCAGCAAAATGGCAATAAAATTAACTCCAACAGCACTGCACTTTCAGAACAGGCACAGGGAATAAAAATATTAGATATGAAGTGTTTATTTCAAAGAAAGATACATATAGACACACATTTTAGCAGTCTACAATCAGACCTCTTCTACACTTTTTTCAACAAGCATTAACCACACTGCATAGATCGGGGGTCTCCCATCTTGGCAACTTGGAAGACATGTGGACTTCAACTCCCAGAAGCTTTGCTGCCTGGGGAATTCTGGGAACTGAAGTCCACAAGTGTTCAAGTTGCCACAGTTGGAGATCCCTGGGCATAGATGATCACATTTGTCTTCTTAATTTCTTTTTGTCCAGTCTCACTTTCCCAAAGAGTAAATTCCTTTATGAGTTTTTTTAACAGATTGACACTTTTATATTAAACAGTCCTTGATTCCAAAAATCCCATTTTGCATCATATGTGCAAAAATATTAGCTTTATTAGTTATTGGAAATACTTTTTCTAGTAGCTGAGTATTTGTAATATTGATTTTCTAGTTGCTGTGTATTTGTAATATTAGAAACGTTACAAATTTCTTGAACTATTTTAATACTGAAAAACATGATAATCTAATGGCAGAAATGCTTGAAATGCTCATTAACATAAATAGGTTTGGTGTCAACTTATTTTTTGATTAGGGTGATATCTTACTTTTATTGTGGATCTCCAGTGAAGTATGTAGCATTTCCACTTTCAGTTTTATTCTTGAAGCCATCATATGAGGTAGGTTGGACTGTAAGATCAACTTACAAATCGTGTTAACTATATTGCATTTCTACAGTAGCATTCCATATCTAAGATAAGGGCCAGGGTTATAAAGGCACTGTAAAATCCTCTCTTTACATGTCAACTATAATTTTTTTAAGACTAAAACAAGCTTAATTTTGTTATTATTTTGTCTTCTACCTATAGGATGGTAAGTAAGACTACTTTGGAGATTTACAAATTACCTGAAAAACACTGAGGTAAAGTAGAAATCAGGATCAGGATCCAATCATTTATCTTGCATAGTTTAGAATATCAACTACTGAAGAAAGGATGTGGTTTTTTTTTGCTAAAATCTTTATTCCTATAATTTTCACATTAAAACTAAGGTCCTGTGGCTCTTAATCTTCATGTGTAAGTTTTTTTTTTTAAATACCCTGTTCTGAATAGCAGAAAGAAGTTACTCATTTGAGGAAAAAAATATAATGGAACACGTAAAAAAAGGTTTTTAAATCATTCCTAGGTTTTTAAATTCCTAAGATTGACTACTGAAATGGTTAACACTTGAAGATGATCTCTTTTAAACATGATTCTTCCCAAACTCAATGAGATTTGAAAAGATCTCAAGGAAAATAAGGCCTATAAGTGAGTAGAACATATATATATATTTGGAATAAGGTAACTTAATAATTTTGCCCTCTGAAATGACCATATTTTTCGCTCCATAAGACCCACTGGAGCATAAGACGCACCTAGGTTTCAAGGAGGAGACGAAGGAAAAAAAATATGAATCTGGAGTGCCCTCTCACTGTGCCTATGGAGCACTGGATATGGAGCAGCAGTGTGGTGGGGGCAGGAGGCAGATAGGTGTCCTCTCATGTGCCAGCTCTGCCTATTGACTCCTGCACTCCGGCGGGGTTCACTGTAAAAGGATCCCGCTGCCGTGGCGCAGCTGTGATATTTGCTACATAAAATGCACAGACATTTCCACCCACTTTTAGGGAGGAAAAAAAAAGTGTGTCTTATGGAGTGAAAAATATGGTAGTTCAAAGTTCAGCAAACCTGGTTTTAACTTTTAGTTTTATATGGCTGTTGCCTCCCATGTCTTTAGTTTCATACTATCCTGTCGTGATAGAGGCGGGGAATGTATTGCTTTCTTGCTTTTATTTCTTGGAGGGAGGCTGTCTTTTGGGAAGTTCTTTATTAATTCCAGCAATTCATGTTTTTCACGTTGTGCCTGCTCCAACTCTTGGTGGTGCTGTCTTTCTACTGCCATCAGAGCCTGCATGTTAGTCATCATCCTGGACATTTGACTCTAAAAAGCATTGAAAGAGTTAATGGCAAATGTTGCATTTTCTTTCACACAGGCATCATCTTCCCTGTCCAGTAAATACAGCAATGTGACGTTCTTAAGAACTGTTTCCACAATTTTATCCAGGCATCAAATACGAAAGAGTAGTAAAAATGAATAGTAGTAGCCAAGTTATTTTATTCTCTTCATTAATTATCTGAACTGTCTTACCTGATGAAGCTCAGCAGAGGCTAGGTTTTCTTTGCAGGCAGTCCTTGGGTTATGATGGTAATTGGGACAATGATTGCCATTGCTAAGTGATACGATCGTAAAGAGCAATATCAACTGACTGCATCACTAAGCGCACTGGCTGCCACTGTAACTGCAGGACACACAAGTTGCTTATACCAGAAGAGATGGGAGTGCAAGGGAATGTGGGGGTGCTGCTGGAGACGATAGTACTGCAGGGGGGTGCCGTGGGCAGATGCTGGGGATTGTGGGTTAGTCCACAGAGTGCAGGCGGATGCTGTGGAATACAAAACCTCTGTGATCTTTCCTGTTGGTTTCCCTATTGACTTTGTCTTTTGCAACATCATAATCATGTGCCAGACATCTAAGTGCCTGGATTCTGATCATGTGACTCTGGGGGTACTGCAATGGGCAGAACTTTGAGGACTGTTGCCTACAGCCTGCAGAGTAGCAATGTCATTTGGGCATAGCGGGCTGCACCTCTAACTACCTGTGCCACTGCATTCTGGACCAGCTGAAGCTTCCAGATGGTCTTGGAAGCCATGGCAGCTAGCATAACAAATAACTAAAAATTAATAAAAATAACGAGCATGCCATACTACATAATGAACATTGCTCTCGTCAGATCAATGAGCCATGGCAAGGTGACTTTTACAGCAATTTGGAGACAGCTTGATATTTCTTTTTTGGGGGTGGGTGGGTGGGTAGGCTTCAATAAGTATTTTCCAAGTTTCCTTTGGAGAGAATTCATAAATCCAAAGAGTTATTTCATGGTTGGATCTCAGCATAGAGTAAAGCAATAAGCACCAATTCACTAAAAACAGTTTATGTTACTAGCGGCAAAAGACAATGCAGTTACCTTAAGTTCCTCAATGTCTTTTTGCAAAAGACTCTCTCTTTTCACCATGTGTCTCCTTTGAGAATCTAAACGAGACTGCATCTCCTGTTTTCCATCTTCCATTTGGCAGATCATGTCAGATCTTTAAAAAAGGAAGCGTATTCTCTTTTAATAAGACTGATAACTTTACCTCAGTTTGAAATAACCTCTTAGCTAATTTTGACAGTACTTCAAATGTGAAAAAACAACAACAAACCATTAGACAGTTTTATCAGCCTGTCAAATTTCTTCATGCTATGTACAACTTTAAGTAACTGTCTAATTCCCCCTTGATAAGTGAAATTGTTTCCAGGATTAGCAGAGATGATAGATGCTAAACAAAACATTACAGATTTTCTAGAACCAGTATTTTTTTTTAATCTTTGGCAATAAGTTAATGACTATTACTGTGATACTAATATAATGATTAAATTAGAAACTAGAGCTTGTTACAGCTGACTCTCAAGCAAGAGGGTACAAACTTTACCTGAGTAGCTCTAGTTCAGTTCTCAGTTCTGCCACACAGTTATGCTGGGCATCTTCAGGACCGAGAATGACATATCCACAGCCATTGGGGCATTCACGAGTCCGAAATTCACACACTACCACATGATTATATAAATTACGACGTTCAACATGGACTGGACAAGCTGAGTGAAAAACAGAAGGTGGGTATAAACAGAAGAAGCCATTTTATCTCCAATACTGTATTGTTAATAAGAGAAATTATTTCTTTACCAAGGTGTTCTCACCCAGAGAAAATTTTGAGTGATAGTGAAAAAGGTGTTCCGTTTTCCTGTTCTTCAGCATATCTTAGCACATTTAGGAAACTTACAGCTTCTAGAAGTAGTTGGGACTTTTAAGAGTCCCACCCAATATGGCCAATATTCAAGAATGAGAGCTTCTGTGATCCCATAACGTGAGGAAAGGTCCTTGTTAGTCATTTCTAATCTAACACATGGAGAAGCAGTTTGTCTCCCAAACAATAACAAATGGGAAGAAACATCAGTTGCTTTCTAGTTTCATGAAAGCCGATGTCAGCTCTTCATGGATTCTATGAATCCGTGAGTTCTTCAGCAAGGTGGAAACAAATTAAATTGCACAGAAAAGAGAAAAACTAGAACTCAAGAAAGGTCACTCAGGGCCCACATTCTTCAATGTAGGTATTAAAAATGGGGTTTACCATCACTACATAAAACATCTCTGCCTTTTACCTACCATTATTTGGACAGGGTATTGGGGTGTATTCACAATCGCATTCATGACTGTCAATGGATTCTAGTGAGCACACTATTTCACAGCCACGTCCTCTGTTTGTGCAGTAAAGCTGAAGTCGATTAAGATCATTCCTCATGTACCTACATTAAGAAATTATCACTCTTGCAGTACCATTTAAAAAAAGTTTTCTATCAAATTTTTCTTTGAGAAACATGGAAAAATAATATTTTTTTTAAAAGAAAGCACAACCTTTTTCTGGTTGACCAGGGAAAATAAACCAGGGGAAAAAATTGAAAAAGGATTATGCAATCTTTCCCAATACAGGTAACCCTCATTATCTATGTGTCCATTACATGCCATTTTGAATATTTGTTAACTATTAAAAAGAGGCCAAACTCATTATACACAATACAGATTTACACATCTCCCCTGCATTTATCTTGGTTGTTGATACTTTATACATTTGCTAAACAGAAGACATTTTTTTGCAGATATATTATAGATAGTCCACAACTTAAGGGCACAATTGAGCCTGGAATTTCACTTGTAAGTTTTTTGCAGTCATTAAACATTGAATCCAATATTAGGACCTTTTGGCAGTGGGTGTTAAGTGAATCCATTTTATCCAATGGGAGTTTTTTTGTCAGAATCCAGAAGTAAATGCTGAAAACTGGAAAAAGACTATAAAAATCGTGGTCATGTGACCATGGTAGACTGCAATTGGCTGCAAGTTGGTTGCCAAGGACCCAAATATGATCACGTGATAATGGTGTGCGTGTGTGTGTGCGTGTGTGTGTACACATTGCAACTTTGAAATTGAGTTGTAAGTACCTTGTTGGGGGAGGGGGGTGTCTGTCATAACTTCGAACCCTAGCTTACGAATGTCTGCCCCAAAATCTATTTCTCAAGTGAACTGACTCAGAAAGCCTTTTCAAGGATAGCTTTAAAATCACTTTCACAATCCCATTTTATGAGAAGTGGCTGCAAAAATGGCACAAACTGAATCCCTGCCCGATGTAGCGGCTAATGCCAGATCAGGACTAGGAGTTGTGGTGAGCGGCCCCATACCTGTAAAGCGGTCGAAGGACAGACAAATCAAGGAACTGGCGATCCTCTGGGCAACTGTTGTGATGAATGAGCCATCCATGGATGCAGGAAGTGCAGAAGGCATGTTCGCAAGGAGCTTGCAGAGGATCTTGGAGTACATCTCGGCAAATGCAACAGATCAGGCCTTCATTGACATAACCAACAAAGCGCTCCATGTCATAGCCCATTTTCTCAAACCCGGCTAACCTAATATGAGAATGAAATACAGCATGACCCTTGGGCAGAGGAGAGTAACTTCTTACACTGCTTTTGCAAATCAAGGCTTTCTCTTAGAGACATCAGCTTTGCACCTTTATAAAGCAACTGACCCAACTGGCAAGTTTTAAACAAGTCTCACATACCAAAAAGATGCCTAGTAGATTCAAAGGTAAAAGATACTTTTATCCTTCATATCTATCATATAGAACCTGCAAATCTCTTCAAGGCCTTGACTAAACTTCTCAAACATTGTGATATGTACTTAAGCAAACAGCATGGCTAAAAAATAGAATATGATAAAGTGAATTAATTTGAAAAACACTGAAACGACATTGCTGGAAGGAGGGAACTGTCTCATCTTCCCACCTGTCTTAAAGCAAAAATAATATTATATATATGATCTAATGATCCAATCTCAATCAATGAGATGGGGAGCCATATGTCATTGACCCACCTTTGGTCTAGGAAGAATAGAGGAGTAAGAGATACACAGTATGTATTTATTTACATTTCATGGCTGCCCACCTCTTGAATAACTCTGAGCTGCTTAGAAAGAAAGGAGACAATATATATAAAAAAGATGTTACAACTGACCAGAAGAACAAACACTGAAAGTAAACTAATTAGAAAGGGATACAAAACCCCCTAAGCCAAAGTCTGGGAGAACAAACTTTGAATAATTTATAGAATGTCAAAAGGGTGAGAGCTGCATAAATCTCTAGAGAGATATAGTTCCAGAGGGCAGGAACTACATTGTTTAATTAATAAACAGGATCTGGAGGACACCCATACTGATTAATTCTACAGGACGGGCAGAAATAAATGGAAACAAAACAGTCCATGAGATAACCAGGCCTCCTGCCATGAAGGGCTTTAAAGTTAATAACCAGCATTTGGAATTGCACTTGGAAGCTAACCAGCAATTGCACTTGGAGGCTCACAGAGTTTACATGAGCATAATGTACCACTCCTGTCTGTGCAGCTGCATTCAGGACCAGCTGTAGCTTCATCATTGCAGATGATCTCCAGGGTAATCTCATATAGAAGTAATTACAAGAATCCAATTGTGAAGTGATCAGGGCATGAGTGACTGACTATCTGAAGAGCCTTTCAGTCCAGGAAAGGACATACCCGGTGCACCAAATGTACCCTGCAAAGGCCTTCTTGGTCACAGCTAGCCCTTGCTCATTGAGTAGAAGCTGAGAGCCCAAGAGAACCCCATATTGTGCACAAGTCTCAAATGAGAAAGTGCCGCCCAACCGAGGGTTAATTGCTTTGTCAGGTATGAGCCTAAATTTGTTCCTCCCAATCCAGACACCTACACAGTCTTTAAGCCCTGGGCTAGGACTTTGGTGGCATTACTTGACTGGCATGGAGTCAAGATGTACCAATGGGTATAATCAGCTGATGCTCATACTGATACTTGATCCCAAACCAATGGATAATTTCACCCAGCAGTCCCATGTAGATATTAAACAGAAGGTAAGAAAGCGTAGAAACCTGTAGCATCTCACAAGAGAAAGACCATTCACATTCATCAACTCCAACTGTAACCAATGACAAAGAAACAAACCCATCATTACAGAGCCACCCACCCCTAATGTTTGCTGCTGACCAAAGGACACCATAGTGGATATTAATGAAAGACACTGAAAGATCAAGGAACACAAGCATGGCCATAACCTATTCTGGCTCTGCCACAGAGGAGATAGGGGTAACTAATGTAGTCTCCATACTATTCCTACTGGAATGGATTCAGAGAATCCACTTCCTCTAGGGGTGTTTGACCTGAGGCCTCACTACCTTCTCCACCATCTTCTCTAAAGAGGGAAGGTTGGAGGATGGGCAATAATTGTCTATGACTATTGGATTTAATGATGATCTCTTCAGGAAAGGGCACATCACTGCCTCCTTCAAGACCAAGAAAACCACATCCAAGAGGCTGGCACTGCAGCGTAGACATTAGTACAATGACATAGACATCTGTACTATGTTCTAATGTCTAAGATATGTTTGCTCACTGAAAATAATATGTGGAGCTTAAAACTGTTTGCCTCTCCTTCCATCATCAGGGTAATTCTCTAAAAACTGGTGGGGGGAACCGGATTGTTGAGGTAATTCCCCGTTAGGAGAATGAGAGCATACAGGGAGACATATTTGAGAGTAGTGTTTAAATAATACACATACAGCACACAGATATACTGTACAGTAAATGTAGCTTTTTACTTCCAGAAAGGTTTAAGCAAAGTCCAAAATAAGCAGTCCAAAGTCATTCACAGGTAAAATCAGTCAGTTTTTCAATCCAGGGATAATCCAAATATCAAATTCCAGTGTCAAAAACAGTTCAGTATCAGACTTACATTAAATCCAGTAATATCAGTCAATTAGAAGAAATGGAGCAACAGCAATACTTTCCAACAGAAGAAAACAGAGATACACACTCAGACACACTCTCTTCTGAGACTCAGACTAAACAACCCAGGTTTCTGGCTCCATCTTATGGCTGTTTGAGAAACCACACCCAATTGCATGCTCTTGCATTCCCTTAAAGATATAGTACTAAAATGTTTATCCTGGTTTATATATTTCTAACCCAAATACCTGTTAGGTGATTTATATTCCTAACACGGATTATACAGTATTTTGTTGTGGTGGGCAGCTGTAAAAGACAATCTGGAATGTAAAATGGGTTTTGGGTTGCAAAGATTAAGATTACAGGGAAAATATCTCTCAATGAAACCCTATAATAGGCAATGTTTCGGAATGTTTCTAATTTGGTTTATCCTAAACAAATATAAAAGTTGGAGATTTCAGCAGCTGCTTCATCATATCTTGGTCCCCCCCCCCTCATTTTCTATTTACTGCCGACAAAGATATTGACATAAAAGCACAGTTGAGGCCATGCAGAAGATTTATTAATAGCATCTTTGTTAATGGCACATTTGGGGGCAGCTGGGACATAGCAACTGTCATGGCCCCTTCGGAGCCTGGTTAGGAGGAGGAGGAACTGAGACCATCCAACAGGAATGGCACATCTCCTGTGGCATGTTTGGAGAGGCAGGGGCTGAGGATGCTGTCCCAGCCCCTCAGGGCAACCAGACGGAGAGCTGCCTGCCTGCACAAACAGAGGGGAGGACCAGCTGCTGACAGTCCTTGGTGATGACAGGCAGCAGATTTCCTCTGATGAGGAACAGCTGCCTCATCTACTGATCCAAGGGCAAGGAGAGTGGAAGTAGGCAAGCCCAGAGAAGGGCTGCAAGGCTACTCGGGAGGAGGTTGCCCCACTCCTCCCAAGGAACACCTGGGACAGAGTAACTTAAGCCATGGGGGGTTATTCTTTGCCAGGAACAAATGTTTGTTTTGGGTTACACTTCCCTGGCTTTGACTCCTACCTTTCTGCCTTGCTTTGAGGACTGCCTTTTGGTTCAGTACCCTAGTCCTGTGGACTTTACCTTCAGAACTGCCTTTGCTTTGTACCTTGCCATTGTCCTGAGGACTGACATTTGTCTTATGTCTAGACTTTGCCTTGTGAACTTTCCTGGCAATATATGGATTGTTTGGAGGACCTAGGATGGCCACCCCCTCCAATGTGGGGTGGAGTCTTACAAAAGGTCATTGCAGGACCTTTTGTTGAACACTTCTTGAGGACAATAAAGGACTCTCTACAGGCCTGCCTTGCCTTGACCATGAAATGTCATAACAGCCACAAGCTAGAAAGGTTAGAGTGGCATATACCATGGGCTGCAATCTTCTTTTTCAGGTGGTATCTTATTTCCGTTAGCAAACACAAGCTCTATACCAGGGCTATCAAACTCATGGCCCATGGTCCAGATACGTCACATGCTGGCCACACCCATGCCCGGGTTTAGCGAAGGGGAAAAAAGTTGTGGTATGTCATGTGACGCCACCATGGAAAAATGAGTTTGACACCCCTGCTCTATACAAACCGCACCACAGAAAATAATGCAGCTTATCTGAATCTTATAACCTCCAGCTGTTTGGTGGCTACAATTTCAGTTCAGACAGAAACACTGGCTGGAATATTGGGAGTTCTTAACACAATTGTAAGGCTTTGGGAATAGGAAAAATGAAGTGAAAAATGGAACCAAAAGCAAAGGAACTGGTGGAGTTAGTCTGTCTCTGAAAAGTTCAGTATTTATAGTTACAGAAAATATCTAAAATCCGTGTCATTAAAAATGAAACATTGGTGCATGTTACATGCTTTTATGGATTAGGTGCCACTGAACTAAATGCAGAAATATAACCCTCAGCTAACCATTTTGTATTCATTGATGAAAAAGAAAAACATACCAAAAGAAATTTTCAAGAACATAGCCATGAAAATGCAATCTGGCTTAAAATAATGTTTCATGATATTACTGATCTTAAAAGAGCAACACAGGCCTCTGATGCAGGGGT